GCGCCGACCGCCGCCGTCAGCTCGCGCTCCTCCTCATCCAGCTCACGCCGCCTGCCGGCCGCAGGGCGCGGGTCTGACACACACGACCAGCTGCTGTGCGGTTTGGTACACCATCAGATGGAATACAACCCAGGCACGGGTCTGGCACACACAATCAGCTGCTGTGCGGTTTGGTACACCATCAGATGGAATGCAATGCAGGCACCGGCCTGGCAAATACGACCCAACTGCCATGTGTCTCACTATACCATTAGGTGGAACACATTGTCGGTTTTTTTTAGTAACACGAATGGAACCATCTGATTGACAATTGAAAGTAATAGTATCCAGCCATCAACAGTATATATTATTTGCTACAACACAAATGCTCCCTCACTGGCCACAAACGGATGGTATACCTTATCAAGACGCAGTTATTATTTAGCGGTAGTTATACACATCCTGATTTGAGGCGAACAACACATGACTCGCCCAATACCGTTATGGGAGCCTCATGAGGTGACCGGCGCCGATCTCGGCGGCGGCCGGCGCCGTGCGTGCCCAGCACTCACCCCGGGCCGGGGCGAGAGCGGTGCCCACCTCTGGCAGCAGCGGTGTGACACGGCACACCGCCTGCGCTCGCACGCTGCGGCCACGCGCCCCGATCACGGCCCCGGTCCTGGTGGTGCACCGGCAGCTGGCACAGCTGGCGCAGGCGTAGCACGCGCTGGCGCACCTGGTTCACCTCCGCCACCAGCTGGCGCCACGCACCGTCGCCGCCGCCATCTCGCCTATGGGTTTGAGGGAGCGATTCGGTCATGGCCGCATTGGTCCTGCACAGGGCTGGTTATGCGCCATAGGCGGTGCGGGCATACCAGCTGCATCGGACATGCTGCATATGACATCAGCCCCTTATAGTCTTATTTCATCTGCAGTGAAACTTGGATTCCTTGCGCACAGTACACCACTTTCATGCGATGTTGATGAAGCATACCCACCCAACCCCCTTCTTTGCTTTAAGCCACCTCTTTGCATGATATTTAGTGCACGTCAAGCCTATTGAACTGGCGTCTGGTGGTCCATCTACCTGTCGGCGTCGCCATCTCCGCCGCGCGGCTGCAGCAGGCCACACAGCTGACGTCGACTTTCGTCGCTGTACCACTGCTTCCAGCTCCCCTCAGCCGCGGACAGCTGGCTCCTCAGCCGACGCGACTCCTTCACAAACTCAGACACACTCTTGGCTGCCATGTCATTGCTGCTGCTGTCACACCGATGTCTGGAAAGAACCTGCTTATAAGAACCCAGAAGAAAAAAATGGAAGTTTTCTAGACATTTGTGAGACGCTTTTAGTTTTGTCTATGTGATGAAATACAAAGGAGTGCCACCTCCTAAATACAGGTTACCACAGTGGTCATTTTTGGGAAGGTTTAACCATGAGCTTTGCATATGCACAGATCTGCATAAGTACAACATCATCCATCACATATCAAGATGGAACAATTTGTAGATACATACAATGGGAGCTGTAGTCAGAATATGCTCCTGTTATAATATACCGACATGTGAAGCATATCAGCGGTTTTGCTCTTTGCACTTGATTATTTTTGTAGAACTGCACAATAAATGTTGCTAATTTTTGTAACTTTCTCTTATATATCTTAGACATGGGCAATTTTAGGAGGGCAGCATTCTGCATGACACCAGCATCATGGCCCCAATCTAGTTGACAGTTTTGTGGTATCATGAGTCAAAGAAGACACAATGCATATATTTCATATTTCAGGGACACACATATTTATATTTCAGGGACACACCTGTAGGTGTGTCCCTGAAATATGTAATGGATGTCTTGTTACATGGCTTATTTTGTTACCTGCATTGTACCTTTAATGATTTTGTCCATTAATGTATGATGGCGCATGATGAAAGTCATTTGCAAATGCCAGACACACTAATAAAGGTTTTACATGCTTTGTCTTAAGTAACAGGACAAGCATGGTGGTATCAGAAAGCAGCTCACCAATTCCAAGAATGGTGAATGATGTAAACATGGCCAGTAAACATGCATTGTGTCTTGCATAAAGAACATGCATAAAGAAAGTATGAAAGCCCTGGCATGTAACAGCTTTCCTCAGGAGGGGGAGGCAATGCAAATCTTTCTCTGACATCCTGTGAATTTGGATTGAGTGCATTGCACAAATGCACAGTCTCTAGGCTGCATCTATTCATTCGGGGGGGGGGGGGTGCAGATGGCTGCAGCCCTCCCCCCCCCCCCCGGCCCCCGACTAAGTCTGACTGCGCATGATTATAAAAGTCTGTCATAATTTGCAGACCAGGCCCAGTTTTACACGTTATTTTCCAATTCTCTGCAAGCCGAAATTATAAGTACCCACGTGACGGTAATAAGTCAGATAAGCATTGTCCCTGGTAATCTAAATTATAAGGCTGCTGCATCTTGGTCATGCCGGTTTTCCGAAGCTGTGTCGCCTGCTCAACTGGAATATCACAGGTTGATCTTATCATGCAGTATGTTCTCTCATCCGTTCCCAATCAACAACTTACATTTCATTAGACCACACTGATGCTGCAGTCAGGTGATTGATTTTTTGAAGGTGGCGCCACAAATCGTTTACGAACAAGGTCTTACAACCACGAAGAAGGAATGTGAAATACTGCTATGCCATCTTTGGCGAGTAAGTTCGATACCTGAGAACTTAGGAGGAAATTTTGCAAGCTTTCGAATCAAAATTGGATAAATCTATCATTTGACACTGTTATGATCATTTCTTCATCTGTTTAGAGGGTATGAGTGCACGCACGTGACCGTTTGTAACAAGCAAATTGAGGATTTGCCACCAGCCTAATAATTCAGCAATCAATGCATTACCTTAAACGGACAGCAATCTCGCAAGATGAAAAATTATAACATTGATATTCGATTTTATTGTCATTTTAACCATAGCAAGTGACCAATTAGAAGCAGGGTCACAAGGTGCTCAATGAGTGCATCTAAAAGTGTTAGCAGTACTTTAGAAGACAATTGCTTTTGTGCATCCTATTTTGACGCAGTAGAGACAAAAAATACTCTACCCTTTTTCTAGCTTTGTGCTGGCAGGAATATGTATGTTGCGGGGAGTATGTTTACATGCCATTGCCCAATTAGGACCGTTAAAATAAAGGTACATGCAAGGTGATTGAACCGTTTAACATTAGTGATGAAATTTGTGTGGGAATTGATGAGTTTCCCCAGGCCAGGGGGTGCTAGTTGTGGCATATTGCCCGAAGTCCCAGTGCCTATTACTTGTTATGTATTTGCCCCAAACACTTCAAGCTGCAATTGGATTATGTTGAAATGTCCCAATGTGAATCAGAAGGTACCCACTATTCAGTTGCATCACGCTCGAGTGTTGCCTGGTGATACTAGTGGAATGCACAGTATTTATGATAAAAAGGCCCCTTAAGTGGACAGTGAACAAATTGAAGACTTGTCTCTACCTTGTCACTGGTTAGGAGCAGAAAATGTTTCTGTGCCACACAGTGCTGCAAAATGACTACTCCAAGCCTGGGTTGACTTACATTAGATCAGGCTGCATAGAATCCATCCGCTGCATGGTACACTGATATCTTGTGATGCACTGAACCTTGTATTTCTGTGTGCTGGACGGAGATCAGGCCAAATTGTCAGAATCTGTCAGCCAGCTTGTCAGAGTCTGTAATAATAGTGTTCTAAGTCCTTTTGCTTGAAAACTTGCCTGTGTTACATCATAACTCCCTGAAACATTGGCCTTGTATACCGAAATTGGTGGTGAACGTGGGCTTAACCACGAGCAATTGAATTTATCATGCTCATGTGATAAAATTGTTAGAGTGGTGTGGTCACTTCATATTGAATGCTTAGCATAGTGCATACTTTTGAAGTTTGGGCAGAAGACAATACCCAGCTGACCTTCCCATGTGGTCAGAGCAAACCAAGTACTGCACTTACTTGGGTCTCATACCCAATGCTGCTAGATAACTGGTCCAGCATCTTTTCCCTAAACCATAGAGACAGTGTTTGGGATTCTATTTATTTCAGGGCTGTTGTCAGTTGTGGTGGTCAGGCTAAGGCCATGGCCTCCTGTAAACTTTCAGCACTCCCACCATTTGAATAATCCTGAAGGTTGATCCATGAAGTTATCTGTGTAGCTCTGCAGGGTGCCAGACCCATAGTTTACCCTCTAGGCACCATGTGCCAGTTGTGTCCTGTAAACTAAAAGCAGGTTGCATGTATGCTGTATTGTGAACGATATGAACCACATTGCATTTTGAAGCTGCAAATAATGCAAACAACCCTTAACAAATGACTCTTGCTAATACTGCAATAGGCATTCTACCTGGTATGACATACTGATAACCAAGTTGAGGCTTCTTAAGGTGGTGGCTGTGAATGCCAGCTGGGATGAAGTGTAGTGCTCATGTACAATTTTTATACAGTTTGCATGGGAGCTCACTAAAATATTTGGCTGCAGCATACATAGGCCTGTGTGTAAACCAATCATGACAGTAAAAACATACTGAAGTAAGCTTACTGCCGTGCATTTAGTACATATTGGTGAAGATGTGTGGCCTGCTGGATTTTGAGATTGTTGCCTTTGCTTTGTAATGCATGTTGTGCAGACTTGCTGATGCTACTGTGGCCACCTTTTTGTATGCTCCAACATGTTGCAGTGTGTTCCACAGCCACCTCATCATCACTGGAGTGAGTGGCCCTTTCCTGTTCAGGTCAAACAACCATGCTTCCACAGGTCACAACATTTGGATATGGACTGGAGATGTTGCTGTGGTATAAAAGCAACTCAGTGGCACTAATATTCTGGTGTTTGACAAGCTGCTGTAATACTGAATGAGACAGTCCATTGTTTTCTTAAAATTTTTATACACATTCAGGGCCACTGGCCTGTCATAGCTGATGAGTATGTATTCATGAGTATGTATGCCACTCACTTGCTGTGCTGCTGCTGATGTATTCATTATTGTTTTTTAGCCCATTGTGCCTGGCTCCTGAAGAAGTCAAGATAAAAAACAATGCCTAGAGATCGCAAGAAGAAAAATCGTAAGTGACAACATTTTTTCTGATCTGTTTTTTAGTAACTTCTGGAGAAAAGGCTGCTCATATGTGAACCAAAATTCTTATGCAAATAGACAGAAGACCATTGTCTAAATGGAAACTTGTTTGATCCTTGTCAAGGCTATCAAAGACACATTCAGTGCTGCTCAGGTACAAGTGGATGTGATATTGTGAGGCCAAATTTCAGCGATGTGATTGTACGTGGATTGGTGTGCTGATAATACCTCAGTTTGTGTGTTGCCAAGTAAATCAAACAAAGCATGTATAATGCTTTCAGGTGTTTCACTTTGCAAGTTCTTGAAATCTGAAGTTACACGAAGTTACTTCCTCCAACAATATGAGGAACGATATGAATTCAAAAGAGAACAGATATACACTTTCATGAAAATTCCAAGAGAGGTTGAAAAGCTGATTGGTTATGGGTTCTTCCAGGTAAGTACACATCATTTAAACACATGTCTCTCTTGGAATCAATGCTTTTGGGCTATATATATATATATATATATATATATATATATATATATATATATATATATATATATATATATATATTGTTATGGCCTGGACAAGTAAGTGGATGAGGTTGAGAGGACTGGTGCTCTGTTCCGACCCTCTGAACCGATTCTGGCTTGTCTCACAGCAAATTGGATAGGTTCCCATTCTGGCGCTGGCCGCATTTTGTACCTTGGGCTTGACTGTTGTGCCTGGCTCATGGATATATGAATCATTCTCGGAACCAGTGTCATTGAAAGCATCTCTGGGGACTTGGGTTGAGGTGACAGCAGTTAGTGTGATACAGTATTGGATGGGTTTCGTGACAGCATACATGCAACAACTGTCGGGAAATACAGCTATGCATCTAATGATGCATTTGCTGCACACCGGAAACACAAAAACATTGGAAGGTTCGTGGCTGAATGGTTGGTATGGCTGTCTCGATTTCGACCCACATTATGTGTCTGATGAATCGATTCAGCGTAACCCAGTGTGGCTGTTTAGTCCGCGGTCTTCCCTGAATCTGTGCTGAATCTGAATCTCGAGGAATGTCCGCTCGAGGCTTTTAAACTACCTCGCGATGAGTTTTTATTCGAAAAAATGTGTTGACTACGGCCGTGGCTCTTGTGTCGTGACTTCTGCAACGCTGCATCGGCCCCGTCAAGGCGGGGGTGTTCTGGTCAGTTATAAGGGTATCCTTGAGACCTATTAAGAAGCTGGTTCCGAGTAGTAGACTAGAATGCACTGACTACCGCTCGACAAAGTTGGAAACTCTTCGCTGACAAGATATTCTAATAGGGGGGGGGGGGAGGGGGTAAATTCCCCTGCGTGGCACGAGGAATGGTTTTGCCGGCGCGCGACACATGCGATGTCTTCGATTTACAGGTGGTGGACGCGTTCCTTTTCATTTTCACGTTCTTGCCGCTGCGGTTTGTGCTCGCTGTCTGGGCGTTTCTAACGAGGCCGCTGCTGATCGCCGTCGGGTAAGTTTTCTTTTGGTATATAGTGCTAATTTAGTGTTGGTTATGTGATGTTCGTGTGGTACTTACCCGAGCCTTGGATGAGTGCCGAAGTGACGTTAGCGCGCCATCCCTTTAAACCCCGGAATGCCGATTATTTTAAGGAATTAATCGTTCTGTGGTCAGGTGACGACGGTTGCTTTCCTGAGTTTTTCATCAATCGCTCGCGATGTAGCGATGGCTTGGAGCGATTCATGGATCGAAGTGGTCGATGTCATTCCATAGTGTTCTTTTGTGTACACCTTTGCGCCTGTCTTTGACCTCTGGCTTTTGCGTCCGTAGGTTGAGAAGACAGCAGGGAGATGGCCATTGGCTGAAACCGTCCGAGATTATCGACATGATGAAAGGCCTGATTATCATTATCACGTGCTTCTTTTTGTCTTACATCGACACGTCTATGTTGTATCACGTGGTAAGTGATCCTTTGAAATGTTTAGCGCGACGAGGGCACTGTGTTCGTTGACTTTGCGTGATCTGTCTTGCACCTTAAACGTTTGGTCGCATTTTTAACCACCGTTGAAAACGTTTGTGCCGGCTGATTCTCATCTGTGTCGTCCATTTCATGCCGCTGGTGTCGTTTGTCAAACATGCCGCATCTGCGAGACCAGAGAACAGTGAAGCTTGCACGGCGATAACGCGAGCCCTCTTCGGACGGCAGGTGAAGAGCCAGTCGATCATCAAGCTGTACATGTTCTACAACATGCTGGAGGTGGGAGACAAGCTGATGTCGTCGTTCGGCCAGGACACGCTGGACGCGCTTCACTGGACGGCCACGGAGCCGCGCAAGAAGAAGCGCCAGCACCTGGGCACGCTGCCGCACTTCTTCCTGGCCACCGTTTACGTCTGTATCCTCACCGTCAGAGCTGGTTGGGCTTTCGTTTACGGGTCCCGTCGCACGCGTTAGGCGGGAGAGAATGGGTAAGAACAAACGCGTCCTTTCTCGTGTGAAATATGTGCGTCATACCAGGCACGCAGCTCTTTAGGCTATCCGCACTAAGCTCTCTGGGCTCTTTTAGTACAGACTGCTAACATCACTCGTCATGCCTGTCATGTGTTCACCCGGGCGTACCAATGTTGTATTTTGCTATCCTCTAGTGAACAATATGGAGCCGGCTGTCATTTAGTATTACGATTGGGGCTGTTATGAGAAGTTCAGACCCGAGTTTCGCCGTGTACACACCGTGCTCGGCGTCACGCCACGGGTTGCCGCAGAGCCTGCAAACGAACCCTCGACAGACGCAGCTGTACAGTACAGACAGACAGCAAGACAGACGCAGCTGTACAGTACAGACAGACAGTACAGACAGACGCAGCTGTACAGTACAGACAGACAGTACAGACAGACGCAGCTGTACAATCTCGCCGTTTACATACCGTGCTCGGCGTCATGCCACGAGTTACCGCAGGGCCCGCAAACGAACCCTCGACAGACGCAGCTGTAAGCTGTACTATAGCTGTATTGCACTGTTGCCATCGACACGTATTCGGAAGCCGGGGGCGGGCGGGGGGGACGAAAACCGCTCTCGAAGTGTTGTTTTATGGATGCTCCTGGTAATAGGTAACGCATAGTTCCTGTTGATTGTTGGGATCTGGTTTTACGGCGTTTGTGCTGGACCCCGAAATTCCCTTGACCGAGTCGCAGTCCTGCACGGGATCTTGATTTTGTTTCAAACCACCGTGCTGAACGTAGCGATCAACTCGAGCAACAAGGCCCTGCTGACGGTTATGATGTCCAACAACGTGAGTCATCGTTCCCATGTATGGCATGCCGTATCTAGTGACGCCGTATTTGCAGCGCACAGAGAGCAGTATCATTTGTGCCGGGTGCTGCTTGTATTATAGAGGTCGAGCTTGTTAAATGAAGTGATTAGGTTCAATTGTTCTAAACCAGCCAATATGTTTGATGCTAGCCCATTAACATATGGCTTCAAGCCTCTGGAAGATATGGAATGTTCTACGATCGATTCGGATGTAGTTTCTCACTAGTTCGTATGTGGACTCCAGCGTATCTGAAAATGTCTGCCGTTCTTTCTCAGTTCGTCGAGCTGAAAGGTTCGGTGTTCAAGAAGTTCGATCGGAACAATCTCCTCCAGGTGGCCTGCAGCGACATCCGCGAGCGCTTCCACTACTGTGTCCTCCTCCTGCTGGTCACCGTTCAGACCATGAAGGAGTTTGGTTGGAATGAGAGTAAGTTCAGGCACCAAATCGCCTCAAGTGGTCGTGTTTGATCATGATGATCACATTGCCCAACATAAGCGCACTGTTAAATCGAGGAATGCATTTGCTTTATAAGAGCGCGCGCGCGCGCCTGATCTTACCGCGGCGTTTGGCCGGCGCGAACCCCGACGCCCTCAGCTGACAGGCGTGGTGCTCGGACCGCGTTCCGTCCCGTCTGCGCGATGTCCGTATTGTGTTCCGTCCCGTCTGCGCGATGCCCGTATTGTGTTCCGTCCCGTGTGCGTGATGTCCGGACCGTGTTCCGTCTCGTCTGCGTGATGTCCCGACCGCGTTCCGTCCCGGCTAGGCTGAACATCGGTTGACGTAAGAAGTGTGATGAGATCACACGAACTTTGTGATCGTGAGATTTCGTACCTGAGTTTTGAAGCGTTAAATTAAGGTATTTAATTACCACGCACAGCCAAAATGCACCGGAAAACTATTTGCTATGCCTAAAATTACATGAGAACGAAACAAGTTGACCAAGGTTGACTCCGGCCAGGTGGTGTGGTCAGGCAAGTGACAGCGCCGTCGTGTCACGAGGCCGTGTCACTGCCTTTTGAGCTATTTTACTAGACGCCAAGATGTCATTTGTTTGAAAAGTGATGGCTGTACGATCAGTCATCATCGAGTCTGAGTGCACGCTCTGGTTATGGCAAGCCTCCAGTGCCGTCAGAACTTCAAACGTTTCTCCAGATCGTCACCCTACTTGTATTACCTATCAAGTGAGAGCGTTTGATTACGTTGCGTGAATGTCATCAGTGACAAACACGGAGGAAAGCTGTGCGAAGATTTCGGGCAGTACTAACATGTGTCGGCAGCCAGGCTATTCTCAAGCCGATCGGTCCATCCGCCCGTTTGCACATGAGGTCCGGGATGGTGGGGAAATGCTGTGCAGCTGATTTATGGAAACGGTGTGATCTGACGATGGCTGAGGCCTGAGCCCGACTGGAAGTATACCGGCTAACGTGCTGCAAAACGTCCGCGACACCACGCACGTCCCTGACGTTGGCCGAGTGGTTTGACATGTCAAGGCCCCATGCTTTTCTATCCCGTCAACCGTGCCGGATTCACCAGTGCGCTGCTCTGAAGTTGATGTTTATCGATACTGAAACGACGAGATGCCTGTGCAGTTTTCGCGCTTCAAAAATGTGTTTATTTAATGTTCGCTTAGCTTTTTACACCCTGAAATTGTCGGAGTGGTGGGTTCCATCTAAATATGTTCGGTATGTTATGACGCACTTTCGGTTCCATCTAACGTGGATCTGGTCCGTAGTGGGTTGGATCTGTATGTGGTTTGTCGGCATTTGCGGAAGATCAAGCACCAAATGGGCGAGGCCCTCAGCTCAGCGGGCCCTGGTCATACCCGTATGCCGGCCCCGGGGGACACTCACGTACGATAACCGCGCCATAAGCCCTATGGAATCTTAAACCTTATCCTTCCTGCAATCAAGATATGTTTATCACGGAAGTGCTCATGCTCAAGCATGCTCAGGAATATCTGCCGGTGGACGATTGATAAGTGTTTGTCCTCGTGTCCGCCTGTTTGCCGAACTTTTGTGACCGCGCTTGCCGACAGACCAGCTGTGGGTGCTGCTGCCGGACTGCATCCTTGTGCTGGTGGCCGAGCTGTTCGTGGACTGGGTGAAGCATGCCTTCATCACGCGATTCAACGAGATTCCCGTCGAAATTTATCGCGAGTACACGCTCACACTGGCGTACGACCTGATATCCAGCAAACAGAAATACGTACGTACCCGAGGGGAAATACGTGCGTACTTGTGGGACTGGTGACCGCCGACCGCGTTACTGCGATCCTGCAAGATGTTGCGATATTGTGTCACCTTGATTTTCTGTCGGGGTTAGGACTGGGGACATTGTTGGGGACCGGTGTGGAGAGGTTAGATGGCCTGGTTGAAGGCTGTGCTGCTGCATGACTTGATGACAGAAGGCTCTCCCGTTGGCCGTGTGCCCGCGCGGTGAGGTGGCTGACCTGGCTCGAGGCCGCGCCGTTCGCGGCGGCGGACGGAGCCCAGACCGAGGCATCCCCGCCCAGCTGAAGCTGAAAGGTTGCCTTTTAGTCCATGACGGAACCTGTTACTTCCTGTTCGATTTGACCGAACTTTATCAGGTGGAGGGGGGAGGGGCACTATCCGCAGCAGTATTTCTTGCTGCTATTTCTTCCATATCTGATGTCCTGCTCTAAAGTCTTGCAACCGATCGAGTTCTGAGCTGGCTCCTCTGTACACAGCTGGGAGACGGGGTGCATGTGGCACGGCGTGACCCCGTGACCTGACCAGCTGCCGTGTGGGGCGTCGCCTGTCCACTGCCCGCACACCCCGGCCCGTCGCCTGGCTCTGACCGGCGCGCGGCACCCCCGGCAGGCGTTCAGCGACCACTCGGACATGGTGAGCCACCGGATGGGCTTCATCTCGCTGCCGCTGGCGGCGCTTACCGCGCGGATCCTGCTGCAGTCGGTGCGGCTGACGGGCACCGGCGCCTGGCTCCTGGTGGCCGCCGCCTACCTCGCCCTCGCCACCTTCCGCGTGCTCAACACCATCGTCATCCTGGGCAAGGCGTGCGACCTGATCGAGGCGGAGTCGGCGCCACCGCCGTCGACCGTGGCCAGCCCCGCCTCCGCCGCCGCCGCCGTCGCCGAGGTGCGCTCCCGCTGCGTGTCGGAGTGCGATCCAGCCGCAGACAGCTCGCTCACGGAGCCATACAACGTGTTCAGAGAGTTCTCGCCGCCGGCCACCGCCGCCACGGGCGAGGAGCCCGACTGCTCGTGCGCGCACGGAGACGGCCGGTGCGAGTCGCCGGCGGCGCCGACGCCAGTCAGCACGGTGGGCACGTGACGTCGCGCGCGCCAGGCCAGCGCCGGCGCGACCGCGGGGCTTTCACGGCGGGGGGCGCGGCGCCGCCTTCTGATGCTTGTACAAGTGAACTGCGTTGTGGGGCAATGGGCAAGTGGGATTTACGGCCGGTTTTGGGTTGCTGCGGCAGTATTTGTTGCAGCGCGTTATGGTCTCGGTGTCCGTTGCCTGATGCGGTGGCTGTTGATTGTTATAGGAAGCATATTTCTGTCAATAGTATTGACTTGTGCGCAGCGGAGCGATTGAAAGAGTTCTATGCGCGATTATGATTTGAAAGGAGTTCGAGGATTTATAAATGCAATGGGGTTCCAATGTTCTAGTGCTGCTGAAGAAGGTTGACATGCGATTGGATAAGGTCAATTTGACCCCGGAAGGTTTTTACGAAGTTTGTATAGCTTTAGAAAATTGAATGGTGGATAGTTTGGCGTTAAAAATTTCGATGCACCTTGTAAGGTCGCTGACCTACGGCAGGTCAGTCAGGCCATGGATTCAGCGAGGACAATGACTAGGGAGTGGTTCAGTCTGATGCAACAACGTAGTGTTAGAGGAAACCATAATCTCTCAGACAGTTTCTTAGGCAACACAACAGTCGAATAAATAGTTCCATTGACCTAGGGCCAAGTATAAAGGTCAGACGAAGGTCAAAACCAACCTGTTGTATTACCCTAGAGCTTGCCATAGGGGGTAGTTTCTGGTACTCATTCCCAATTTAATGATAACAGGAACCGAATTACACATCTAAAATGAGCTTTTCAAAGGTCGGAATAGATCATTGACTGAAAATAACCCAGGCAAACATTTTTTTGTTTGTTCAGGATCACAGTCTGGCATGATATTTTACGCTTATTCAAATGCAAAAATCAAAGCAAGCTTGCATGATTTGGGTCACCATGACCTTCGAAAGAACCGCGAGGTCACTGACCTTAAATGAGCACCGGTGACCTTCTGCCTTCAACAGGTATCCAAATTCACGGTGGTCACATGAGAAGGTCTGGGGGCACTTTGGACACCAAACTGGAGTTTGACCTCGTTTGACCTTACTTGACCCGAATGTCATGACCTAGGAACATCGAACTTTGACACAAGTGAGTTCAGGCGCCGGCTAACACACAGTTTGAGTTTGGCGCCTCTTTCTCTTAGTTTCGGAGATCTCAGGGCGTCAAAGTGACCCCCACCCGAGCAATGGGCATTCAACCGGTCACCCAGGTGCGTTAATAGCGTCATTGGTCGAATTAATATCCATCGATTAATAACCCATCGAAATTTGTGGCACATACAAGACCCACCAATACACTACTAAATTGGAGAACATCGATATCCACCGGAATGGCCGAATACGAACCAAGTCTGAACGTCCAGTCGTGCATGAATATTATCGCGGAAATTGTTTAGTGTCAACTCCAACTGTAATGCCAAACCGGTTTTACGCTGCAAAGGTTCGTATCTGCTGCAACGTTGCACAAATGGTTGTTTGTGTTACTCAAATGTTTGATCAGCCCTCATCTTGGTATGACTATTGCGTCTGCCGTGGACTGCCTGTAAGTGCCGTTCCAGCTTGTATGTGCCTCAAGTACTCAGCATTGCCAAAGCGCATGCATACCTTTAACCGCACCGACGATTTATAAAAGGTGTTTGATCGAGTGTCGTGTTCTCTAGTCATAATTATAATCAATTAACCGGTTGAATTCTTCAAACACAAAATGGTAACTTAGACTTTTTAGAATTTAGAATTTCATTCAAAGCGATTACATTGCACTCAAGCGAGTTGGCAAGTGAGCGAGATTGCGAAATTCCAGGATATACTAACGACAAACATCAGATTTTTATATCAAATTGGTCACACAACACGGCGCCTTCGTGCGAAGTACCCGAAAAACGCGCATCAGACCCATCAGAAAGCTCACGCCCACTCGATGGTCGTGCAGTCGCAGTGATTGCGGGATGCGGAGACATCCGCTAACATCATCACAAGGTATACCAGATACGATGTGAAGAACGCACGCACTTAAACGCGCCAGTAATTACGCTGTGCTACAGCGCTGCCTTCTCAAACAACGAAATTATGCACTCAGCGGCCACTGATAAACGTAGGTACACACGTTGCGTGAGTGGGCGGGGTGGCCAACGAAACCAAAAGGTCCGTACTCATGATCCATCAAATACATCAGACGGCCAGTAGTCCCGTATTCCTCTACGACCAACTATTCAGGATTTCAAGAACAAGGGCACGACAAAACGACATTCCGGCACGTATCACAGACAGCACATCTGGACAGCACCACCCGCAGCTGTGGTGAATCTCACAGAGCACGCGCCGCGCGACACGAGCTGATCGGGCGGCCAGCCGCCGCTCAGCGGGCGCACACGTCGCGAGTCGGCGGCCTGATCGGCACCCGGCCAAGCGTGAACTCGGCCGCCTCGAACTCGAGCCGTTCCGCCTCGCTCAACTCGGCCGGCTCCGAGTAGGCCTGCGGCTCGACCTCGGCCTGGCCGCCGCCGCCGCCGCCGGCCGGGACGCCCTTTCCGAACAGGCCGCCCCCGGCCGGCGGCGCGGCGCCGGCTGCACCGCCGGCCGGCATCGCAGGGGTTTGGGGCTGGGACGCGCCCGAGCCGAACACCGGCGCGGCGGGGGCCGAGCCAAACACGGACGGCCCGCCGCCCGTGGCGGACTGAGTGGCGGCCCCGAGCGTGGAAGGCGCGGCTTGTCCACCGAAAACGGACGAGGCGGGCTGTGGCTGTCCACCGAACACGGGGGTGGCCGGAGGCTGTCCACCGAACACGGAAGAGGTGGCCTGAGGCTGTCCACCGAACACGGACGAGGTGGCCGGAGGCTGTCCACCGAACACGGACGAGGTGGCCTGAGGCTGTCCACCGAACACGGACGAGGCGGGCTGAGCCTGTCCACCGAACACGGAGGAGGTGGCCTGGGGCTGTCCACCGAACACGGAGGAGGTGGCCTGAGGCTGCCCACCGAACACAGAAGGCGACGCGGCCGGTTGTGCGCCGAACACAGATGGTGCAGCCTGCGGTTGAGCGCCGAACACGGAGGATGTAGCCTGAGGTTGGGCGCCGAACACCGAAGGCGCACCCTGGGACTGTGCACCGAACACAGAAGACGACGCCTGCGGCTGTCCACCGAACACAGAGGAGGCGGCCTGCGGCTGGGCGCCAAACACCGACGACGTGGCCTGCGGCTGACCTCCGAACGGGGAGGTGGGCTGAGCCTGTCCGCCGAACAAGCCGGCCGAAGCCTGCTGCCCGCCGCCGCCGAAGACGGACTGGCCGGCCGGGGCGCCGCCAAACTTCCCGAACAGGTCAGAGCCGGTGGAGGCGCCGCCGCCGAACACCGCGCCCGACGCGGAGCCGCCGCCGAACAAGGACGCCTGGCCGGAGCCGCCGCCGAATACAGACGGCTTGGAGGAGGACGCGGCGAACATGGTGCCAGCAGTGCCGCCGCCGCCCGGGCCTGCCGCGGATGCGTTGAACATCTGCTGCTGGAAAACGAAGGAACAGGTCATGCGCAGGCGCCGTACCGAAATACAGCTGGTATGACATGGACCGGAAGTAAAATCCTGTAAGGGTTAACGAATGGCGTTTTTGCTTATATCACACAATTGTCTTTGATATACAACAACGCGTGACGCTCAAATACATACCTAACGGATAGCGCACGACGTCGGTGGGAAGCAGATAAAGTCTAGTCAAGACCGGGTTTGAATTCAACATAACAGTCCTCCCTGTATATTTAGTGCAATCAAACCACCAAGGTCCAAAGGTTTAGCACTGAACTTAAGTTTTGTCACGGTTACTTTGTCCTCGGATTTGTACTGAAATGGCCAAACTGGAAATTTTACGCACAAATGTTTATCAAATGTAGTTGAAAGTGCACGCAGTTTATATATCAACAACCAACACTGAGCTTCCACCCAGTCACAACCACGGCTACTTGGTGTTGGAAAACGAGGATCAGCACAAGCCTTGTTGAATTGGTCATGACCGCTTGTGCGTAAAATAAAAGTACCTTTTCTACCTTCAGCCTTCGGCAGCACATGTCGACAAGTGAAGAGTAAGGACGCCCCCACATACCGGGCCTTCATGTTGGTACAAATAGGTGTTCAGTGTTGCCGTGGCATCTTGTGCGCAAAAATACCGCCCATTCCTGTTTGGTAAAGCATCTTTGCGTCACCATGTCCTCGTCCGGCCGCCATGTTCGCCAGCGAAAGCCCGCGCCTGGCTTCTATTCTATTGTGAATCAGCATTTTCACTCACCAGGTAACTGCGGATTTCGGGAGACGGATTCTTCAGCGTCTCTCGCTTCTGTCGATAGTCAGCTATCTGAGTGTTGAAGTACTGCAGCTGCAATTGATAAGAGCCAGTGTCACTGACCACGTTACCACTTCGGCGAACAACTCACACGGCGGTGGCGGCTAATGCGTTACGAGCATAGCTAAAACGTAAATATATCATCAAGGTCTCGTCGAAATAAGCCAAATTGGCAACCACACAACCCGAAGTTCAGATCATCAATATCTCGTCGAAATGAACCGGAATGCCAAATAAACAACCTCATGTCCAAAGATGTACGAACGTCGGTGAAGCTGGCACCAAACCCTATTTATTGGTTGGTTATTTGGGTCTCAGGGCGCATGAAACGCACGGTCACACAGCGTCCATAACAACCCCATTTCAAAGCCAATTCGAAATGAGGAACTGGCGCCCCAAGCTTGTCGCAAACATTAACACAAACTTGCAACATGTTCAACCTCCATGACATAGACAGGGGAATTAACCCAGCCCCTGCTCCGAGGTCCGCGCTCTGAACGAGCAACTACAACGGGCGAGCAGAAATACGTGCAGCTTTACCATTTCATCGATCCACAACTGGCATTGCCCCTGATTCAGTACTAATTTACCATTGGGATTTGGCATTCCTTCTATGGCTACATGAGGAACCACAGGGCACAATCGCGTTCTCTCTTCAAATTCTCACACTCCCACTCGTCCATAATAGCAAACTTCATATCACACAGGCATAGTCTCTCGGACCAGCAACTGTACATCTGCGCAGACATCTTGCACCGAATCAGCACCGCTAAGTTTTTACGGCGCGCGAGCCGTTCTCCTGGCCGTAGCCGGACGCTGCATCGCCGGTCCAGGCCGAGGGCAGCGCGGCAGCTGGCCGCGGGCCGTCCCTGATACTCACGTAAACGTCCGGTGTGTTGGCCACTTTGCTTTTGTACGCCTCGGCGCGCACCTCCTCGGGCGAGAGGTCCAGGAGACCTGAATGAGACATCACAAGTGACAGATGTATGGCATGCTAACCAAATGCTCCAGCCATAATGCCACACTTTGGGTCTACATTCATCTTGTAATGGTTTGCTTGTGCTTGTGAAAGGTTTGGATCACACCATCCACATGCATACAGTCTGCCTGTGTGGTGACATGGCCAGAAATGTTAATAAAAAACAAACAGAAAACTTGGAAACACAAAGGTGACAGCAGTAGTGAAAAAGAACATTTTGTCTGATAATTGTTTTTTAACAGTTCCTTAATGGTTCTCTGAGATTAGTAGCTGGACTGCTTTAAGTCAAACCACTTCTTTCAGTCACTACCTGGAATGCAGGGCTGGCCCTTCAGGGGTGAGAAGCAGGAGAGTGGCCACTGCTTTGAGCCCTCCCATACTTTCATCTCAGTTGCTATCCCATTCCTGAAAACAGAGTATGGTGTGCAAAGTTCTCACAGTTTGGATAATATTACAACAACAAACACATGACAAATACTTGAGCTGGTACACATCATATTCCTACTTCATGTACCTGGCCTGAAACATTTGGTTAAAATACCAATATGCAATGCAAACACATTTTCACACACTCAACATCCCTTGCCTTCCTACATCAGAGCATACAACTGATTCATGTCCAATTGCTGTCACTTCAGAACAGAACTTACAGAAGCTCAACAAAGGTAGTGGGTGTGACAGCCACACCTGCTGGCTGGGAACTGGTCTGCTGGCCTCTGAATGCCCCTGAAACATGGTGTGTTCACTTTTCACTTGATGTTCAGTTCTGCAGACCTGTGTAATGGTGTGTTACCACATGGAAATGAACATGGCATGCCTTATTTGATGCAATCAGACAAGATACCTATGACTCAAATGCTGTTATCAGTGTCTGGGCTGAGAAACATTCTGCCAAACATTGCCTGGCATGGCAGAAAAATAACAGCAGTGATTTCAGCACACTTATGTTGTAAATCCAAGCAATGAGAGATGATCACACAGTTTGTACCAAATTCAAGGCAGTTCAATCATTAAGAACAATTCTCTTGATTCTTTAAAGCAAACATCCAAGGACAATAAACTATTCCCCAAAGAAGAAAGTACAACTTGGCCTAGCTGAAGCTTGGTATACATGGGCATAAGATTCAGTACACAGCTGCTGAACAGGCATCCAGCACAGTGGATACATATTAGCAAACTAAATCATTGATACATTTCCTGTAATCATTACCAACATTATTCACCTTGTAGAGTCAAGAACACATTGAAGATCACTCACAGCTATTTTTACAGTGATATACGCGTGCATGAAATGATCTGTGCAAAAGAATCTCACCTTGGGCTGGTCCTTTAAATGGATGATCAAATCGGCATTTATCTCCATAACGACAATAACCTTGGGTGAAATATTTACACACCACCATATCTGAGGGCCTGAAGAAAACTGAGAACAGGTCACTGATTCAACTAATTGCAAATTCGTGAGTCACCGCCTGCTCCTTCGGCCCTCGCCAACACTAGAAACAAGGAGTCAGCATTCACCCCGCTAAATACGAGATACGCGTATAGCTTGCCTCCGGCGTCGAGGTACAAGTGCACATAGCGTTAGCGGCCTAATTCGCATTTGTCACAGCTGCGGCACAATGAACTATTATTGTGATAAAGTCTCCGCAAGCAATTACAGTTTTGAGAGCAAACCGTGAAAATTATTTTCTGGGCAAATTAAAGGCAACTTCCAGGACAGCATCCCCATTTGATGCACAAAAAGGAACACAATTTACGAAATGCCATTCATTACTCAGAAGGGCATCACGATGCGTTATCACAGCTCGGTTATGTATTGGTTACAGCGCCTGCCGTCCGATCTGCCCACCCGCGGCGAGGGGTTCGAGTCACTTTAAATGCTCGCTATTTGCTATTGATAGGTATGGCTTGCGGTCGTAATCAGCGGTCACGCTAAAGGTTAGGCGACGTTGAGTGGTGACTACCAAATTCTGCCGTTGACCTGTAATGGCACGGTCTGATGGAAGGTGTCAGGCCCATGGACATCGATTTCCCAAAATGATTGGGGGGGGGGGGGGGTCAGGATCTTGAAAGTCGCTGTAAAGGCGACCGGTGCGAAATACTAATCGGATTTCAGGGGGCGAATCCAGAGTAGGGAGGGGGCGGAGTCATGTCCCCTTGGGCCCCATAGCCGGTCGACATAATCATACCCATTCATTTTTCATCATTGAGGGTTCCCGATAGAATATTAAAATTCGGCGTGATGCGCGCCCACCGAGCTTCGGGCCTTAAGACTCATCCTGGCCGAGGTTCTTTTAGTTACGTCGGGTGAAACCCACTCCCATCCTGGTTACGCTATGTTGAGTATATAGAACCGTCCCAAGAAAATGTTGCCGATTAAATCCCTGGTGGAACGCTGCATGCAAGGAATAACGGGCATATTCCTTGTCATGAACGAAAGTCAATAGCATCTGGCCGCAAGGCTTGATTTGTGTTCAAAGGTTTTAGCATGACTTGCAAAACACGCAAGAGCAATTTTACTGTCAAAAGCCTCGCCCTCCTTTGACACCGCACGCCTCCGTTATGAGGCGTGACGTCCTGCACACCCCTTCTGTGCGTATCGGATTTTCTGGACATGTGCAACGTAATTTTCTGACGGCCCCACATTTTCACCGGCAAGCAGCAATTTTTCACGGGAGGGGGACGTGCTCTGATGTTCGCCTTGAATACGTCCCCGTCCAAATGCATCACCATGTCATTAAAGCACCTATCGCAAGTGATGGGTACTGCTATCACCATCCCCTCGCGTGAAATCGTGATTGCATGGCGCTAAACTTGTGCAGTTGTCACGGTAAGTTACAATGTCACGCGCCGTGCGTCGGAGCAGCCGAAGTGCCTGTGTGTCTGTACTGTAACGGACGGGGCAGCAAGCGAATAACAATGTGATGAAATGATCGCTGCTGGCAGCTGTCACGCACGGTGGACACGGCCTAGCAAAAAAACGAACAAAAAACACTGCATTCTGAACCGATTGGACGCGTGGGTGCTACCCACTACTTCTAGGCATGTGTGATCCCGAACTGACTTTCCAGTCGCCAAACGCCTGCTTCAGTGAGTTGAGCGGACGTAACGGGCGCAAATGCCACAAAACGTGAATGCGGCAAGCTTGGAGGTTGAGATGCGTGCTGGGTGTGGGATATCCGACTGCATGTGTTATGACCACAACTGTTCTAACAGGGGAGATGGCTGCGTCACTGATGCACGCCAGGCGAACAGCACAGAACGCTGCATCCCAACACCCCGCGCTGAAAGCGGGGATATATAGTGTCAGTCTGATCAACAGACAGGCTATGTAGACGTGGCATGCTGATAAGGGCTTCACTTTTGATAAGCGTATTTGACGATTTGATGAGTGACATTTGATGGGCAAGATTTCAGCCACATCCCAGTGAGACTCCTCAGCCCGAATGCGCAACAAAACACGCTCCGAAGTTCCATAAAAATGTAATCGCCTACTCAGAAAATACAGCGCCATGATTTAGCACGAGGAGCCCGGTCTCATTGCTGCGACATGCAAAGTAAAAAGCCGCGAGAATGAGCACAATCAGCCCGCAATGGCAACAACACGTGACGCGGCCCCAACAGAATTCCACCTATTGCGGGCATAGTGAACACAGGCACACGCGCGCGCGCCTCGAACGATTCGCGGCTCTCGCAACAGAACGGAACAGGAATCACGCAAACAAGATCACCACACGTTACGCGGGGCGCGAGCCGATCTGGGCGCGGGAACGTTCCATATCACATCAGCAGACTTCACACGGTGGTCTATGATTTAAAAGCATGGGCACTTGGCGGCGGGCGGCGGCGCAGCGCCGCTCGACCGGGCGGCGGACTGGGCCCGCGCCCGCGACGGTCGCATGAGACTGCAAACGCGGGCGCGCCGCCTCGCAATCAGGTCTCGCAAGCGGTGAACGACTGATCCCACTCTACATCGCCTCATATATTATATAGTATAACGCTATGGATTTACTCGCTCGCGCCCCCCTCTAGGCTACAGACGGGGATTTGACGGCGCGCCGGCGGTTTGGCAACTGGGAACGAACAGGGACGGCCGGTGCCGACGCGGGACGCGGTCGCGCCGCTACACGGTGAAGTTCATGTCCTTGACGAGCTTGTCCAGCCGGTCGAGCTGCACCTGCATGACCAGCCGCGACTTCTTCTCGGCGTCCAGCTCGTCCAGCACCGTTCGCATCCGCTTGGTGTAGTCGGCTCGCAGGGCGGTCAGCGCCTCCGAGAACTGGCGCGCCTGGCGACCCCGACGCCGACCGTCACAACTCGGGCCGGCCCGCGCGGCGAGGCGCAAACGGACGAGGCCACTCACGCACGTGCGGGGAGACGGAACGCGAGCGTAAGGAGTCGCACGCTGCACACCTGAACTCGAAGGTCAGCATTCATATATGGACTGCTGTGACGCGGGATTGCCAGACACATGCATGCAATGTATGAACTTGAGCGCCTCGAGTCGCAAACAGACTGCTGCTTGCCGGCCTTACAATCCACACACGGAATGTTCGAGTTCGAGCTCACGAGTCACATACAAGGATCGACAAGAGGACAAGGATTGTCAGGCCCAGCTCCCCTGGAGTCACATAAGAACAATCAAACCTTTGTTCACCGCAATCGGACACACGGGGACCGCGCAGCGAGATGAACAACTGCGGACACCGGCGGCGCCCACCGACGGCGTCCGGCCCAGCGCCTCACCTGTTCGTTCAGCTGCTTCTGGAGCCGGCTGCACTCCTCATGCAGCTCTCGCGTGTCGGTCGGCCGGCCGGGCGGAGCGGCGACGGCCGCCGCCGCCGCCACTGACGCCGGCAGCGCGGGTCGGGCCGGAGCGGCGGCCGGCGCTGCCGCTTCCACCCGCCTTGGCGACGGGCACGCGGGCCGTCGGCTTCCGAGCCTTCACTGCAGGGACAGAGACGCGTCAGCGGACCGCCATGCAGCACGGAGCAGCGGCAACACGCAACACAACCTCCAAACGAACTGCCCCAAATGCAACCCCATTCAAGGGCGGTCAGGAAGCGGCCGCAGTACGAGCTTCAGGCCCACTCCACGCCGTCGGGAGCCGGAGCGCTGCGCTCACCCTCTGACGGCGGCTCGGGCCTGGCTGGCCGGCCGGGGGCGGCGGCCGGGGCGGCGGCAGCGTCAGCGGCGTCCGGCGCCGGCCGCGACTCGCCGGCCGCCTTCTCCTCGTCTGCAACAGAGCGCCGCGTCCGGTCAGCCGCCTCCGGCAATCGCACGGTGCAGGGGCTCGCCCCGGCCGTGCTGCCGGCGGCCTCCGCGCTCGGACGCCGTCGTGCCGCCCGTTCCGGAGCGTCCGTCGGGCGCCTCGCAAGCCTCGCCGACATGCGGCGGCCGTCCGCGGCCGGCGGCGCCGACCCGCGACTCCCGCCGCGGCGCGCACACCACCACCCGGGCCCCAATCGCAGCCACCTACCCCGGTCGCTGGCGCTCGTGAGCCCGTCCGGAGTCGCACCTTTGGGTCGCGGCGCCGGCTGCTTTTTGCTGTGGGCGCGCTGCAGCTCACGCATCCAGGGCGGCGGCGCGGCGGAGGCGGGACCGGCCTCCGCCGCCGGCTCCGTCGTCTGCTGCTCCATCTTATCGTCATCGGTCTCCACTAGCGGCGCAGAAACACGGGCTCTACAAGCGGCCACCACAGGCACGGCGCCGCCGCTCGGGCCAGGCCGGCGGTCGCGCAAGAGGCCACCGCCTGGCGGCGTGCGTAGGGAGACAGGCAACGAATGGGGGCAACGGCCAAACTCGAGCATAAGTGAGCAGGCAGCCAGTGAGCAAGCAGCTACGCGGGTCGGCGACTTGTGCTCCAGCCGGAATGTGCACACATCTACAGCACGATACATGCATCCTGAGCTACATATTCAATAAAGCACCGCATGCCGCGTTGACAGAAGTACAAGCAGCTGAGAGCTATCCACCTTCGACAACAGCCACACAACGCAGCAGCAGCGTTACAGCGCGCGGAGCCGACCAGCGGCAGTCAGTCGGGAGCCGGTACGAGTGGGAACGCCCGCCCGGTTTAGCAATCATCCTTTCCGGCAAGATCACCCGGAAGCTCAATCTTATGAGCTTTACTGGTTGTCCCAGAACGAGAACGTAATAACCGCATACGTGACGTGCGTCGCATGCGCCGGTTTTCAGACACTAAAAAATCAAGTGGCAGTACTGGACACCCTGTGACTCACATTAGGCAGCTTGGCTTGATTATTGCACAAGTCACGCAACTGGTGCCGTTTACAACTAATTTCAAACTGCGATGCTGCTTTGATGATCCCGTGTTGGGGAGATGGAAGCTCTCCCAAGTTCGGGGATGGGGGCAATAGACATTTTTTTGTCATTTCTTTCTAAACAACGTACATAGTGTCAATGCTAAGCTGCCAGCACATTGGGGGGGGGGGGTTAAGCCTCCCATCTTCCGCCCCTAAGTTGTGGTCAAACGCCACAACAAAACCCGGACTCAAACAGCGATTATCGCAGTGTACGCAGAGACCACACAAACCCGGACTCAAACAGCGATTATCGCAGTATCGCAGAGGAGAGAGTTCCGTGGCCGTGACGATCTTTCTAACGACCGATAGAGACAGGGAGAGAACATGACAGATGACATCAGTTGTGGCAATTACGCTGCCTTCGGTGCCTGCTGCCGTCTGAGTCGCATGACCCTGGACTCCAGTGCGGTATTCGCGTCAGCATGCACAGACGTGCGCCACACATAACATCCGCGGACCACCCTCGGCGACGGGCGCGAGAGCCGGAACCCACCTAGCCGCGAGATTGCGCTTGTTCTGGGCGCGCTTGCAGCTCCTTCATCCAGGGCGGCGCGGCCGGCGCCGTGGGCGAAGCGACCGGCGCGCCGTCGCGCTCGGCCGAGCCGTTCACCAGCTCCGGCTCCTGGCGGCGAGGCGCGAGAGCCGGGTCAGCGGCCGCGCTCACCGCGCCCACTCCGCCGCAGCGGACGCGGCGCTTGCGACCGCGCGACACGGGAGGGGCGGCGCTAACGCCCACGGAGCGACGCAGGAGTAGCGGCGCTCTCACCCACGGAGCGACACGGGAGGAGCGGCGCTCTCACCCGCGGAGCCACACGGGAGGAGCGGAGCTCACACTCACAGAACGTGCGGGACAGACGTACATTCATGAGGCTGTTCTGACACCGATCTCAGCGGGCGGGCAAGAGGAGACGACGGCCTCACCCACCATCCGCGCCATCGGTCACCGGCTGTGGGCGGGGCGGGCCGGCGGCCCGCCCCGTCCTGCGGCGGCCGGCTGGGCGGGCGGCAGCCGCGTACCGACACACGGGCATGCGGCGGGCGGCCGCGTACCGACACACGGGCATGCGGGCGCCCGGACGGACAGCCTCGGCCCCCACCCGCCCGGGACCGATGGCGGCACCCGAACAAACCGACCATGTACCTCTGACACAGGCGTCTCCACGGGCGTCGAGGGAGACGGCGAGTTCTGTGGCGACATCTGTGGAGGGCACAGGCACACTAAGCTGCGAGCGATCGAGTCGGAACGCTGCCCCGCGCGGCGGGACAACACGCAGTGCAATCTACAAAAGCGACTTTCGGCAGAATTGCTATGTGCTGCTAGGCTACAGAGCTGAGAGTGAGCGATACGAGGTGTAGGCTGAGACTGGTCGCCAACAAGCGAGTCGGGCACGCAACCATCAATCGGTGCAGCTAGCAAAACACGCCGTGCAGCGTCGGGCAGAGCCATGTGCTGGTGCACAGCCATCGACATTCACAATCTACCACACATAGTGTGCAGGGGTGCCCAAACTTTGTGAGCTTGTCTCCGACCCATCGTGCTGAGCCGGGTCACTGTCCGCCGCGTCCGGGGGTCTCCGGGGGCAGGTGCGGTGCTCGCGCCGGCCAACTCACGCTCTCCCGGACGAAGATGCTGGAGGGGGGCCGGCGGCCGGGCGCGCGCGCGCGGTCGGCCGTGATGTGCGTCAGTCGATCAGCGCCCCGCTCCACGGCGTCGAACTCCTCTGCGGGTCGGGCGCCGGCCGTCAGCGCGAGGCCGCACAGACGGCCGACAGCGAGGCCGAGGCGCTCGTCACGCGCGGCGCGGACACCCCGCCGCCGCCAGCGACGCTCACGGGCAGCTGGCCCGGCTCAGTGACAACTCTCGAGAAAATCGATCATCGCTTTCGCGCCAGGCGTACGCTATAAAAAGGAACGCATGCGAAGACGTTGGCCTATCATTACGATAAGACGCCGGCTACGACCAGCGGCGTCCTCATCAAGTGCCGCGCCACACCCGCCTCACCTAGACTCGTGTCCCCGTCGGGCTTCCCCGCCTTCTTGGCGCCGTCGGTGACGCTGGTCGGCGCGGCGGCCGGCGGCGCCGCCACCTCTGTTTGGACATGCGTGTTAGTGGGCTCAGAATGGGGCGTGTTAGTGGGCGGCGGGACGGCCGGTTTTGGAGCGGGCGGCGGCGGGGAGCTGGGCTTAGCCGACTGCTTGAACGCCGTGGCCGGCGGTGTCGACTCGCGGGAAGCGTGGTTGGGGGAGGTCGGCTTGGGCGGGGGCGTCTTCGGGAGGGCGGGGGGTGGCGCCGACGCGCCGGGGTCGGGTTTCGCGCTGGCCGGGGGCGGGGAGGGGGCTGCGGATGGCTGCGGCGGCGCCGTGGACGGCAGGGGAGGGGGCGACATGGCTGGCACGCGACCCGCCTCTCCGGGAGACTCTGAAACGTCGGCACGCATCAGCCGGCACAGATACACGGCGCGACGACTCACACCGCGACACCAGGAAACATCCGCGCTGTGGAGGACCTGCCCGCCTCACCACCTGCCCCGTGCATAATGCATACCGCACCGAGCGCAGCTGGATCCACCGGCTTCGTGACTCATGACTAGTGATTCTCCCTGCCGGCCACTACTGACCGGTGGCGGGCCGACCGGCGGCCGACGGCTGAGGTAGCGACGGCGCCCGCTTAGGCCCGGCCGGCTCGGCGCTGCCCGGCCTGTCCGTGGCCTGTGGCGCCTCCGGCTTGGTGAGCGGCTTGGACGGCGGCTTGTCGGGCCGGGCCGGCTTCTGCGGGCGACAGAGGGGACGCGTGACTGGCGCGTGCGACACGTCCGCACGCGCGCGCACCGCAGCCGGCGCAGGCCCGGTCAAGGTGAGCCGATCGGCGTCAGAACACGGTCCATCGATCACTGCAGCCGCAGCCTCAGCGTCGCAGCTCAGTCACAAAGGGTTCACAGCGAACTGGACACACTGGACGCAGTAGACTGGGAGTACTGCAGCGGCGGTCATTAAAACCAGCGCAATGGGTGATTTAGATACCATCATCTTAACAGTACTTCGAACCGTAACTGGCTTTGCAGTCCCAAACCTCACACCTTACTCCCACTCGTTGTCAGAGCAAACTCCTACCCAAGAGCGGATAAAACATTACCACCGTTGACAACGTTAACTACTACCACTGAACCACCGCTAAGTCGTTCGCGCTATTCGCAGCTGAGCATGTTTTGGAGCCGTTAACAGCCGATTTCATGAGAAGGCGACGTCATTCCCCTCCCCTCCCCCCCCCCCCCCCCCCTCCACAGCCGCGCCGACTGGGTCCGGAGCCGGATGCGACCCGGCGCCGCGCCTCTAGCGTCCCCGCCCCCCGCCCACCCAGCTAGCCCAGGACGGCGCGGGGGTGCGTGCGGCGGCCCGGGTGGCCCGCTGACTCACTGACTCTGAGTCAGCTCATGCACCGGGTGTCTCCGGCCGGCATCGACTCGGGGCGAACCCACTCCGTGGTTGGCACGCTGTAGGAAGCCCATTGTTTTTTAGCGCGCGGCGTTCCAGGCAAATACCGGCTGGCGGCAAATACCCGCCATAGGTCGCTGCGCTGATACGAGCTCGCACGGCGGATGTGCTGGGACACAAATCAGCCGCCGTTGGCACAGACGGCGTACAATCAACAGTGAACGCCGGAAGGTCAACTGGGCGTGTTGGGGGCGACCACAGGCTTGGACGAGTCTGAAGCCTTGACTGCAGCGGCTGAAAACACAATGACAGTGACAAAATGGCTTGTCCAAACAGCACTGAGTTGTGTCAGAATTTTACCCACGTTGCTCACTGCGCCGGTGCTTTTAGACTGAAGCGGCTTAGTCCCTCAAACCCCCGGCGGCCGCCCGAGAGCCCACCTCCGCCGTCGAGATGACCTCCACGAAGTTGTCGGGGAAGACGCCGACCTTCCCGGCCAGCTCGCCGCGCCACCAGCCCTTGTCCTCGCTCTCCTTGGACACGATGGTGACGACGTCGCCCTCCTTCAGCGTCAGCTCGTCCTCATTCTGGCGCTGGTAGGCGAACAGCGCGCGGCACAGCTCCTTCACTGGGACACACGGCGGGCGGCACGGTCACGCGGCGCTCGACGGTCTCCCGTCGCTGGGAGCTCAGCACGGAGAACGGTCCCACACGGCGTCGGACACCGCTCCTTCACTGAGCCACAAAACACGGGAGCGGGAACATCGAACCCAGATCGTCCCTCTAGTGACGATGGAACAAGGTCACACAGCTCCAGCCATCGTTACAGACACTCACTGGCCAGCTCACGATGCGGTCAAATTAATCCGCGACACACCTCACCCCAGTCAAACCCTCACTGCGCGCGACCAACGCCTCCGCTCCACGCGTTCGTCAGTATGTTTGCGTAAGCCGGCACGACACCGCGTGAAAAACACTGTTTATTTACGGCAGTTGTACTAGGACTTCAGTCGCCACCGAGACCACTCATCGCCTTCTCCTCGGAGACAAGGTCAGCGTCACCGTCCAGCTACGGGCGCGCCAGTTCCCCCGCGGTGTATGCCGTGATGTCAAGCGTGGGGGCGGTGGGGTGCAGGGCGGGGGGGGGGGGGGGCGAGCGACCGGAAACAGCTGGCGGCGAGCGGCGGATGCCAGGATGTGGCCGCCAGACGACTCACAGCACAGGAGTGATCTGTACAGGGCGGAAGCAGAGCACGGCGTCTCGTCGCTGGCCCACCGTTGGGCTCTCACGACCCGGGCGCAGGCTCTGCCTGACCAGTGGCCCTGGGACGGGCTTCCTGACCAGCGATCCAGGGACGGGCTCTGCCTGATCAGTAACCCAGAGACGGGCTCCCAAATCAGCGACCCGAGGACGGGCTCCCCGACCAGTGACCCATGGACGGACTCCCAAATCAGCGACCCGGGGACGGGCTCTGCGTGACCAGTGACCCGGGAACGGGCTCCCTGATCAGCGACCCACGGACGGAGTCCCTGACCAGTGACCCAGGGACGGGCTCCTGACGTGGCGCCACCGAGCGTCCCCGCCCCGGCGGCTGCCCTGACCTGGTTTGGGCGGCAGCTGCGGGGCCGGGGTGTCGGTGGCCGCTGCCGCGGCCGGATCGGGCGGCCGGGGCAGCTGCGGTCGCGTCCTCCCCTCTCGCAGGATGTCGCCCAAGCCGCCGCTGTTCTTCAACGGTTTCGGCTTGATCTCCTGCACGGGTTCCGTGTCGGCAGCCGGCGCCAGCTCCTCCACGAAGTTCGACGGGAACACTCCCACCTGGCGGTCGAACGCGGCGTCAGAGGGTCACCCTCCGCACAGTGACGTCACCTGCGACGCGCACCGCACGGCGAGTGCGACAACGCGAGGCCTCAATCAATCACAGGCAGCCGAAGCGGCCGCCGCGGGCCGCTGCAACGCTTCCAAGGTACCGCCGCTACCTTGTCAGCGCGGGAAAGACCGCAACAGGCGCTGCGATACGTCGCCAGCGTTGCATGGTTCGGGCCACAGCACGCACGCCGCGGCCGGGCGCGAGCCCGGAGCGGCGGCGCGACAGCGTGTCCAGCGCGGCCGACCCAAGGTCACTGGCAGCGCCGCCGGCCGCCCGCGCCGGGCCGACCCCCGCGGCCGGCAGGCAGACGGGGTCGGCCCGATCCGGCCTCTGCAGTCGCTGAGATCCACGGCGGCGCGGAAAGAATCCCACACCGGTGCCGGACGGCAGACCACGTGACCCGTCACCAGTGCTCCGCGCCGGACCACATGATCCGATGACTGCAGCGCTGCGCGTGGGGGCACGTGACTCGCGACGCGCGCTGAGCGCCAACCACGTGACCCGGCGGCCAGCGCTGTGGGGTGGAGCACGTGACCAGCCGCTCCTGTGCGCCGGCCGGCCCGTTGAGTCACTGGCCAGCCGAGCCAGGCCTGCCTCCAGTCAATCCATACCGCGGCGGCCCGACCGGCTACGAGAGGGAGGGGCTCTGGAGGCTCTGTCGCCGGCGGCACCGGCAGCGCGGCGCCTACAAGACCGCCCACGCCCCGCATCGCCAGCACCCAGCCACCCGCCGCGGTGTGGAGACTGCCCACTGCCCGGCAGCGGCAGCAAGCCATTGCCCCACGGTGGCGACTACTGGGGCCAGGTGTCACCAATTTGGCTAGAGATTAAATGAGATTTAATCTGAGATTTCCCCAAATGAGATTTTGTCCTTTCCAATTTGGCTAGCAGCATACAAGTTCTGTTTAATCATGCAAAACATACTTCCGTGCCACGCTGTCTCCCCGCTCAGCTTTCAGTTTGGTCGCCTCCCCCTCTAGACCAGCCCCGACCGTCCCCAGTCACCGAGGCGTGATTACACCCACGACTGCGCCGCCAGACCTGGGCGGTCCTGCGCTGCCGGCGCCACCTCAGAGTGCTTCACAGCATCCGCAACGCCCCGACCCACCGCTCGCCGCCTGCTGAGGAGGGGGGGGGGGGGGGGGCGACGGCGCCGCGCCGCACGAGCCCGGCCCACGCCAGACGGTCCGGGCTGCGCAACGGCCGGCCGGCCGCCCGCGTCACCGCTCAGTCATGCGGAAAACACGACGCTCTCAACACCGGGCAACGGCCTTGGACAAGTTTCCCGACAGCCAGGTATATTAGGTTTCGTTGCGGTGTGCTTGTCCCCGTGGTGTGTCTGAGGACGACTGCTGGGCACCGGTCGCGGTGTGCATGCTGCTCTGGTCACGCATCTCTGGCGAGTCTGGCGTGGCCTGGCGTGGCCGCGAGGCTGATTTGGGACAAACACGCGACTAAAGTAAACAATGCGGTACGTGTGTCCGCGATTTTCTCGCTTCACACTTGCTCGCTATGACTCCTTGCTCTCTGACTGTTATCTTGTTTCGCCCTCCATCGGACTCTGAGACTCAGCGAAAAGCCTATAGTTTTACGGGATCTCAGCGAGGCATCAGGAACCAAGGATTAAATCATTGTTCGGACTACCGTTCTCGCTTAGTGTGTCAGTGTGTCAGTTTGGGCCAGTACACTCTGCGGCCGTTGTCAGGCAATGAGGAGTCCTTACGGTTAGATCAGTTGACAGAACACTGGACTTACAATCAAGAAGCCGCGGGGTTCGAATCCCAGCAATTCCTGGGATCAGAACAGGAATTCTCGAAAGAGAGCATGACCGTTGTGACGCAAAGCTGGTCCATGGCCAAGCATCATTCGCTGCCAACCAGCATCACATCAAGACCCCGTAACACGTCAAGACGACTGGAGAATTTCCTCAACGAAACGTTGCGTAACTAGTACATCAGACGAGGACGATAGTTCAGACAAAACACCTATGTTTCAGCTTCGGACGTGTTATTCCAATATCTGGAATGTAAACATTGGTTGTTTTCATTGGCGCGGTATGAAAATTGCGCAACAAACCAGCCCGGCATGCTGCATCTGGCTACCGTTAGGGTTGCAAAACCCAAACAGAGCACCAGAACCACGGCTGCAAGGTCAGCGTGGTCCCGGGGAACCAAACGAAGCGTTCATTTGGTTTTTGACCGTAAGACTACGCGAACACTGGCCTGGTAAACAGCCATTAGCCCTGCCGTTGTCTGCCACGCTGAGCACCGCCGCCACCCGCGCACTACACACGAACACGGCATGACTCGGCCCAATGCGCCCAGACACCTGGCAAAAAAGCCGCCCGTGCAGACGGACGACCGGTTCGCCCGCTCAGGACGGCCGCCCCTGTCATCCCGGCGCGACGAACCGGACCGCGCGCCGTCGCCAGCCTGGATCCGGCAGGGCCGAGCGCGGACGAGCCGCTGCAGGAGCGCTGGGCGCCCACCGACTTGGCGCGCGCCGACTCCTGAGTTATCTTGCGCTATCAAGGTTGATCACTCCGGCGTGAGACAACATATTCTTACGAACGTTTGGGAAGCTGTGATAAATTACACAATATCCAAATGAACAGCTACCGGCTACAAAGGAACCATTTGACACCCAGTCGCCGGCCAGCCAGCCGCCGCCGGCCAGCCGCCGGCGCCGGCGCACTCTCACCTTGCCGTTCAGCGAGCCCTTCCACCAGCCGGGCTCCACCTCCTCCAGCACGTCGATGATGTCGTGCAGCTTGAGGCCCAGCTCGTCGGCCTTCTCGGGGCTGTAGCTGAAGAGGGCGCGACAGCGCCGGCGGCCTGTCGACGGAGGGCGGAGGGCGCCGCGTCAGCCGCCGCCCGCCGGGCCCGGGGCAGGTGACGCAACACGCCTGCGTCGCGCGAGGCGCTCCCGGGAGCGAGATGACCCTGTTTGTTATTGCCTCGTGCGATGCATATTTTCCTGGCGGATTATTGCGTCATCGTCTTGCATTAGGTCGCGAAAGCACTGCTACACGGCCACGGGCGCTAGCCGTCGGGCCCGGTGTCGCTGCCACAGAACGCTTACAGTGATAGCTATCTAATCGACGCGAATACTGATGGGGCTAGCACGACACAATCTAATCGTCCGCACACCGTCACGCTCTGGATGGCCAACACGCCTCGGGATATCGGCAGCACGCCGGAGACACTCACACCGGCGCCTCCGATAGACAAACTGACGGAGACCAGACACGGGAACTGACGGGAAACCGGATTGCGGGCAGAGATCGCGACGACAAGCTGACGGAGCCGAGGCCGTGACACTGCGGCGGAACAGGTGATATGGCCGGCCTGACGGACGGACCGAGCTCGGAGTGCCGGAGCCCGAGCCTGTGAGGCAGCACCGGCGGCCGGGGTAGCGTCTGGAGCGGCGGCGTCGGCGGAGCCGCGCGGCCGCCCTGCCCACCGCCGGCCGCCAGTATGGCGTGACATGGCCCATGGGGTAACCACACGACCGGGCCCACCGACAGCGGCAATGTCCGACGACGCCCGACGGCCCGCCAGTCGGCGTCGGGCAAGCTTCCATGGCACGCTATGTGATGCGCAACCCTTCGGCGTATCGACGTCAGGGTCGCTGTGGTGCTCCCAAACTTCCGACGCTTGGCAAAGAGCACTCCAAATGAGCTCAGCCTACTCCACTGAGAGGTAGGAGAGACCCGATAAGCCGCCCAGAGCGCGAAGCACGAGGTCGCGACGCGGTGGATTCTCCAGTGTCAATACGGAAAATTACAGAAAAGGTGGGGCGAAACGCTCAGTCAATACATCAAGCCTGACGGTGGGGCGGTGAGAGCACGGTGACCGCAGCGCGTCTGTCAAGCGCTGACGCTCCCCTCCCCAGTCGCCAAACAGCGCAGCATGCCGGTGGCGGAGTACACAAAGGCGTCGCTCCGCGCCGCCGTCCGTCCAAAGGCTGTCCCGTTCCGTCGACACAGCGACGGGGGCAGGGGGGGGGGGAGCGGGGGGGGGGCGGGGTTCGACGGGACGGAGCGGCCTGGGGCGCGGCGCGGCGCGGCGGGACGGGACGGGACGGGAAGGGACGGGACGGGACGTGCGGACGGCGGCACAGCCGGCGAACGGCGCCGTCCGCGCGCGCCGACCGGCGTAGTCCCGCCCGCGCGATGGGGCCGCTCTGCCCGGAGAGGCGGCCTTGACGCCGCACCGGCGACGACAGGTCCGCGGCGGTACGGCGGCAGCACGCCGCCCGCCCGCCGCACAGACCACCGGCCCGACAGCCGGCCGGCCGCCACCGGTCGGCGCCACGCGTGACGAAACCGGCTGCACGAACACACCGATCAGCACTGGACGGCGCCAACGAGAGCCGGGGAATGTCGTGGGAGTCGGCTCTCGACGAAGCGCCAGCGTGACGGCCGTGTGCCGGCTCGACCGCAGAGGTGTTGCACGAGCCGGATTTATCCCCATTCTCCAGAGACGGCTCTCACTTCCTCGCTGCGCCAGCCACTTCTCTCCCCGCGAGGCCACGCCGCCCAACGCGAGCCAGGGTCGCCTCCCCCCCCCCCCCCTCGCCTCAGCTGCGGCGGTGTCCCGTGCCCGGCATGCAAATCTGCTCCGCCCCCCGCTGCTCGACGAAGCACGCGCTCCTCCCTAAGGTCTGGAGGTGCGGCCGGGCTGGGCTGGGCCGGGCTGGGCCGGGCTGGGACGGGGTGGGCTGGGCTGGGCTGGTCCAGGCTGGGCCGGAGCTGGGCCGGGGCCGGGCCGGGGCCGGGCCGGGGCCGCAGCGGATCGTTCGCCGTCACCATCCGTACACGACATTGGGTCACGCGGCCGCCGCCATGACGTCATCCGCCGCACCCCGCGTCGCGACGTCACAGGCGACGCCGGCGGCGGCGGCGCTACATACCTGTACTGGTCATGGCGTAGGTCCGGCCGTCGATCTCGCCTCACGCACTGACGCCGCTCGAACCACTGGCACGGGCGGCGGCCGCTGACGCACCACCACACGCACGTCCGCCGCGGCGCGCGTCGGCTCGGGCGGGCGAGCACGCCGGACGCCGACCGCCGGTCGGTCGGTCGGTCGGTCGGTCGCGGAACTCGGCGCAGCTGAATTTCAGCGGCGCCCGGCCGGCGGGCGCGCCATCGATTTCACGTCGGGCGGCGGGTCAGCCGGGCGGCGGGCCGGGCCGGGGTCAGGGCCGTGCGTGCACTCGTCGCGGACGTGCCGGCCGCAGCGTGCGGCGCGTGTGTGGCGCCCGTCGCCCGCCCGATAGCGGCGCGGTGTATCGGCCGCCCGCTGGCGACGGCGGCCGATAACAGGCCGACACCGGGCGAGGCCGTACGGCGCGCGATTGCAGCGCGTTGCGGGAGCGCGACGCCCGCTCACCACGGCCGACTTCGGTCACCGTCCAAGGCCGGCTGGACGCGGCACGGCGGCGCGGCGCGTGTGCGGCCGCTGCGCGCGAGTAGCACTGGCCGCGCCACGGCGGCAGGGGCCGCGGCGCGGCGCGGCGCGGCTGGGTGGCGCGGCCGCATGCGACATCTCGCGGCCGGCGCGGCAGACGGGAGACGCGCTGGCCGCCGCAAGGTGGCGGACGGCGCCGGCCTCGCATGGTGCCGACGATAGAGCGCCCCTCCAAAACTAGCGAGGAAGGGTGGATGGAGGCTTAATCAGACGCCCCACGCGGTCGAGCCCAGTCTACAATAAGCTGTATGGCCATCGTCACAGCTCATCGGGGAGGGGGGGGGGGGGGGGGAGCGGGGCTGCCTCCGGCCACGAACAGCGGGACGAAATCGGCCGCCGCGTCCGGCGCCGGCCGAATCTCACCTGGCCGCTTGGTGACGCCGTTGGGCTTGAGCGAGCCGGTCGGCGGCTCGGCCGGCTTGGGTCGCGGCTTGGCCATGTCGCGGTGCACCATCTGAAACAGAGCGGCAGCGTCAGGTCAGCGGTCGGCTCGGGACGGGACGCGGCCACGCGTTCGGGCCGCCGCGCTTCAGCCACCGCAGTCGTGCCGCCTTCATAATCGATTTAAAAAAAGCATACAATCAACAGTTATGCGAAATAAGTTGATATCAGAGTCCTTGCTAAACATGGCTCCTTGCGAAGACCAGGGCACTACACCTCGCCACCAGCACCAGCTCAACGGCACCTTGTGCGGACAGATTTTAACGTGCCATGCGGGGTATAATGGCCCGGCCGCCCCGGGCCAGCACGATCCCCGGGCGGTTGCCCACTGACTGACATCCACGCGTCAAACAGCGCGATGCCTGGGGCGCCAATCCACATGTCTGCCACAGGGTTGCCAGCAGGGGCAGCACCACCGGGTGGGCAGCATGAGCAGCCACCCACCCTGCAGTCAGACACGGTCGCCCATCACATCATTTTTTGAGAGGTTACGCGGCGCGCGCTGTTGCGCAGCCAATAATGGAGCACCAACAACTGGACACCCTATCTCGAAATTCCGGGAGGCTCATCCACAGCCTTGTGTGTGATGTACGCGATACGCGGCAACGACGCGGTCAGCAGGTCCGGCCATGACCCCTAACGTAACGCTGCATTGATGGAGAGGAGGTCCCAGCTATGGACAGCCGGACGTGGTCAGGGGTTATCGTGCTGCAGGCAGCGGCTCTCATGACCGAGTAGATGCCGGAATTATCTTGATTTTAATTAGGAATTATCTTGAGAGACTGAGAGGTCAGATAAAACAGGAGGCTTGTCTCGTGACTGAGAGCAGGAGACCTGTATCATGACCGAGAGCAGGAGACCTGTATCATGACGGAGAGCAGGAGACCTGCATCATGACGGAGAGCAGGAGACCTGTATCATGACAGAGAGCAGGAGACCTGTATCATGACCGAGAGCAGGAGACCTGTATCATGACCGAGAGCAGGAGACCTGTATCATGACCGAGAGCAGGAGACCTGTATCATGACCGAGAGCAGGAGACCTGCATCATAACCGAGAGCAGGAACCTGTATCATGACCGAGAGCAGGAGACCTGTATCATGACCGAGAGCAGGAGACCTGTATCATGACCGAGAGCAGGAGACTTGTATCATGACCGAGAGCAGGAGACCTGCATCATGACCGAGAGCAGGAGACCTGTATAATGACCGATCGCAGGGGACCTGTATCATGGCCGAGAGCAGGAGACCTGCATCATGACCGACAGCAGGAGACCTGCATCATGACCGACATCAGGAGACCTGTATGATGACCGAGAGCAGGACACCTGCATCATGACCGACAGCAGGTCACAACTCTGTGCATCAGACGGTTGGGTGATAGATGATGATGATTGGGGCTCAAGGGCGTGCCGAGAGGTGGCCTCTAAGGAATGGATCTGGCGTGATGGGGAGCCAAGGGACGGCGCGAGGCTCCATGATGACGGAGAGAAAGCTCCCACGATGACCTAGCTACATTTGAGACGGCTGGGGTTCATGTTACGACGGAATGCCTCCAGTGGCAGGGCTGGCCAAAGCTGAGATATGTTCAGATGTGTGTTTCAGCTGAGTAAAACAAGCGTGAACGTTCGTGTGTTGTTGACCGGAAGTGTGCCATTACGAACAATGATTACGTAAATGAGTGTTTGTACAATGAGAAGTTTTTGTGCGCTGTACACTACACAAATATGTGCCGTCTTACAGGGCCACACTCGGCCGTGCCTCAACATGTATGCACGATGTGGGAATGCTCCACATTTGATAATCCACAAGCAATCACCGGAGAAGATAAAATAAGGCAACTTACAATCATCGGTATATTTATAAGTGGAAAAGACTGCAAGACAAGACGATCTCTCTGTTTGGTTAATGCGCTCCTCAATACGTCAGTTCTTCGTGAAGTCATCGGACCTTACACAACATTGATTAGGAACAAATTGACGGCCGTTGTATCTGAAAATCGTTCTCAAGAACGCCAGATATGAACGACTCGACAATTATATTTTTCTTGGTCTTGATCATCACATGGTTAACGGAATGGCAGGATTTGAATGACGTTATTATGGCATTATGGATGCCTGTGTGATCTTGAAACACTCCGAAAAAGCATCCCCATTTTCGCGGGCGTGTATCTTAGAAACTAGAGGGGTTTGGGTCTTAAGACGGGCAAAGTTGTGAACTCCACCGAATGATCTTCGAGATCGCTATTCCAGTTCGAAGACCCATACAAATATGGAACACTTCCTTTAATCAAGCAATAAGCGCGGCTTTGGTATGCGGCAAGGTTTAGAAAAAGCGACATTTGCCCTCAAATGGTTATGTAAACCACAAGATGCCAAGCCACAATAAAAGGATGCCGATCGTTAAAAAAACGTTGGATTTCCCTCGCCATGACTTCGAGTCCGAGACCAAGTCTTCTTCTGACCACGAGGATGTACGTTACATGATTGCTAGCAGATCCGTGCAGTAGCTCAGGCAAAGCCCCAATGCCACAATAATTCGTAACACACGCGTGTTGCTTGTTTTTTATGGAACTATAAGCAAATTGGTGCTGCGCTGAGGTCGTAGAAACTGATGGTCCTGGAATGTGCTCTCCCATTTTTGTCCAGCCAGTGAAGGGACAGTAGTGCGCTCAGAGGCCCCTTAACTGCGGTGAGTCCACTCTGTGGGAAATGTCCACCGCGGGAACGGCATACGGTGCCCATCCTCCAAACCCCCTAACCGTCGCGGCGTCGCCCCTGCGCCCCACAAAGAGCGTGGCGCGAAGTACACCTACCATGGCTTCCAATGTGTGATAAGTCGTAATGTATAAGTTGTATTCTAGCGGCACGGTGTCCCAATGAGGGGGTCTGTGTGCGCACCCGCCGATCAGTTCGCGACGTCGCCTCTGGCGCCAGATGTCCGGCGTCCTGCCAGCCTAGCTACGGCGACGGCCTCGCGCCGGTACAGACTGACGTCGGCGGATGGGAGCGTCTCGGCGGGCGGCGGGCGGCGCCCAGCACGCCCCCCCCCCCCCCCCCCCCCGACCGAGAAAGCCCAGCTTAGCCACCAGTTAGTGTTTCCCAGTGTGCCGCCGTCGGGAGCGCCGGCGGGCCGCCGCTCCCCGGCCGGCTGTCGCGTCGGCCGGCGGCCCGAGCTCGCCCGCCGACGGCGCCGGGCGCCCGCCGTCAGCGCGCGGCGCTGCTCCGTCACAGCTGGGCGGCGGCGACAATCGACCGCGGGACTAGAGACGACTGGACCGGCGGCGCCCGTGGCGCTGTGTAAACGGCCTCACGCCACGGGACCGGCCTCACGCCGCCGGACCGGCCCCACGCCACGGGACCGGCCTCACGCCGCGGGGCCAGCCTCACGCCGCGGTGCCAGCCTCATGCCACGGGACCGGCCTCACGCCGCGGTGCCAGCCTCAGGCCGCGGGACCGGCCCCACGCCGCAGGACCGGCCGCAGCTGAGCAAGGTCGGCCGACGGTCTGCCTCAGTCGGTCTGGCTTCGGAGGATGGGTGATCCGAGTCCACACAGCAGACCGGAACGCGGCGGCGATGCACTGCTCCGACAGACTCCGTCCAACAGCGTCGGGACTTCTTCCCCGTTCGTCATCCGCCCAGCTGACTTTCTCCGGCGAGCCTGATTGGGAACACTGCGACTTGCACGCGCCTGCATTGTTTGCTCGAACTTGCGCGGGCTACTTTCCGACGTTCGCAGCCACAAACTCCCACGGCACGTCCCAGGGAGGGGCCGTAATCCCTCAGATCAGCGGCTGGAGAGGCAGGCCATCATCGTGACGGATAAACCCCGGATAACGGGGAGCGGCACCGCAGCAGTCAAACCCCACGCTGCCCATAATCCCATCACGGACAGCATACGATGTCCATTGGGGACGGACATCATGTCCAGCCCTGAGCCGCTGCCCCTGCACAGACCGCGCTCCGAGCGGCAGCGCGTCGGGTGACTGAAGCCGGCGGCCGGCGGCGGACGCGACAGTTCGATCGCTCGGCCGACGGCGCCCGTTTCCGGGCACCAGATCGACCGGGGCACGGCGCCGCCCTTGTGAGCGCCCGCTTCCGCCGGCCGGCAAACAGCGCGGGCCGGCCAGCCGGTCCGCCGCGCGCGCGGCCCGATCGGCAAACAGCTCGGTCGCTAATGACCCGCGGAATTCGGCCCGCGGTCCGCCGCGCCGGGTGACGGCGTTCCCTGTGCCGGCGACGTCCGCTCGGCTCCGGAGGTCACAGACACCTGACCCCGCACGCGGCGCCAGCCTGGACCGATGGTGTCTCGGGCTTGGTGCGAAGGGACGGGGTAAAGCGGGCGTCCTCAGGCGCATCACTGCGCGTACATAGCTCACGCACTGAACTGAGCAGCACCCAAAATCAGCGTGGGAAAGGCCAAGCTGGGGAATGCTAGCAGCGCGGTGGTTTCACTAGGCGGAAGGGAAACCAGAGGTGCGGGGTTCAATTCCCAGCGGCGTCCGCGCTTCCTGCCAGGATAGGTAGTGAACGCCACAGAGCGTCAGATACGGAGTGCGTCGTAAAGCCCCAATGACAACAACGACCAACCGTGAGCACAGTCATGTCACATCATTAGTTGACGCGACATGACTGACCCCTGCCCCATGACGAAAGCCGCAGCACAATCGGAAATGGACCAGCGCCGCCGCAGACCACGACCGAAGGCGGGGTGGCGCCAACTCAGGCCGTACCGCCTCCGCGCCGTCCGGTGCCAGACCCTGGGCCGGGCGCCGCAGCGGCGACGCCGCCGGCAGGAAGTGGCCGCCCAGCGGTGCAGCGGCGGTTACGGCGGCCGCGCCGGAGCCGCACACGCGGCGCGGCGCGGCGGGCAGGGGGCGGCGCCGCGCCTCCTGCGCGTCAGCCCCACATCCGGCGGCGGAGGCAGCGGCGGCGCTGCACCTGCCCCCTCGGCCCGACGCCGGCGCGCACTCACCTCGGCTAGCAGGTCCATGCGTGCGGCGGCGCGGCGCAGCCCGGCGCCGGCGCCACCTGGACGCCGAGTGGCGTCGCCGGCCGGCCGGCACGCTAACGATCGCCGGTCCGGCCGCGGCCGGCGCACGCGCTCGCCCCGGCCGGCCGGACGGCCCGGCCGCGCCCCGGGCCCATGGCGCCGCCCCGCCCCGCCCGCCCCACCCCGCCGAAAAACTGGCCGCCGGCGCGCCCATCGCATGGTCGGCGGCGAGATGGGCCAGGTCAGGAGGGTAGGCTGGGAGCGGGGCGGGTCAGGAGAGCAGGAGGTCAGCAGCGGACCGGGCCGGGAGCTATGGGGGGGGGGGGGGGTCAGGAGCGGGCCGGGGCGTGAGAGACGGGGTCGGGAGCGGGCCGGGGCGGCGCAGGCCCGGACAGGCGGAGGCCGCGTCTGCAGTTCACCGCGCGTGCGTCCATGTTCTTAAGTACCGCCAACTAATCCCATTAGTTTCACTTACGCTAAGCGTGCCACTTCAGCGATTACCGAAGTACTTAACAATTTTAGTCGCGAACAGCGGTCGAGACGACAGAACGCGGTTTCTCGAGGCTGAAAGGGCAACGCCATTCATCGGTCAAGGCCCGTATGTATGTTTTGGTTTGAACTCAATAAACTTCACGTCAAAGCACCAGGAGACAGCGCGGTTTAAGGATGCCGCACAGTTCACAGCAAAGCATATCTCCAGTGTCCACGACATGAGAGCAACGGTTCTTGGCTGTAAAATTAACTACAAGAGGGTCGCATGAGCGCAGGTGAGCATCCTACCATGCCCTTGCAAGGCTTTGATGGGTAGATCCATCAGGGCCAGAGAGTAGCAGCGCCCGGGTCATTCGAATCAGGCCGCCCGTGTGATCGCATGACCTTTGTGACCCGCCTCTGCGCAATGTGCAGTCGCCCAGCGCTCGTTAGGGCGCCACTTTCTGCGCAGAAGCCGGCGTGAGCCAATAAATTCTTCCGGGCATGCGATCGTTACAACTCGCAAATGCTCAGCAGGTCCATCATTAGGAAACCACATCGTCGACCTGTTCAGTTCTCAGGACTCATGATGGAACGCGCGGACGGGAACTGTCAGCGGCAAAGCGAGGGTTGAGGGTGACCAAAGGTCAGTATGGTGTGATAGCAAACCTGCGGCGTCGCGAAGGCAATGCAGTGGCGGACGAGCCCGCTTAAGCCCAGATAACTGCTTCTGAACTGTAAGCTCACAAAGCACGTTACTTTCACGCCATGCTGTGTCGAGCCAGCATCAACATTTCGACCAGGCTTCGCAAGTATTCCCAAGCGCCGAAAGTCCTATTAGCAAGTCCGGGTGCGTGGCAAGTCGGAAAGTCCCGGCACCGACGACCAGCAACGTCCGGTGCCCAGCCAGAACCGCTGCCGTCCTGCCAGCTGCACCCCAGCGTCCCGCGACACAGACTCCGGCCGCGCCGCGGCCGCGCGGCAGTTCGTCAGGACGGAACGGCTGGCGCCGAGGCCCGACCGTCAGGGCGGCACGGCTGGCGCCGAGGTCCGACCGTCAGGACGGGGCGGCCAGCGCCGAGGCCCGACCGTCAGGACGGGACGGTCGGCGCCGAGGTCCGGCCGAGCGGCGTTCGTCCCGGCCGACGGCTCGGCGTCGCCGAGCGCGGCCGTCGGCAGGTGGCGCCGTGCGCGGCTAAACAAAGGTCCGGAAGCGGCAGCCCGCTGACCCAGATCGCGACTGGGCCGTACGCCGCCGCGTCGGCCCGCGGGGCTGGCCGCCGCCTCGGCAGGGCACACACGGGCGGCGGCGCACGCCTCCGCCGCGGGCGCGCGCCTCCGCCGCGGTCGCGCGGCGAATCCGTGTCGATCCGCGCCGGTGACGCGTGACCGGAGGGCGCGCCGCCGGACGATCAGACCGTCGCCGAGTGACGCAAGACCCGCGGGTGGCGTCGCCGGTCGCCGCACCTCCCACGCCCGTGACGTCCACTACTGACCCGGCGCCCCGTCCGCCGTGTCCCGCGCTCGCCGACGCCGGCCGCCCGGCGCCTCAGGCGCTGCCGCGACACCCGGCCCCGTCAGCGGCGGGCGAGACGCCGTCGACTCCGCTCGCAGTAACACCGATCCAGCTCACAGGGCCGCCGTGCCACGGTGTGTGGGGACGGACAGCCGCGGCCTCTGCAGCAGCCGACAGCTCCTGACCGCCGATAGTGCCCGCCCAGGCAGGTGGCGCATCGCCACCCCAGCTGGGAGGGCGTCACAGGCGTCACCCGGCCTCGGCCGCCCGCGCCGTGACGGTCCGTCACGGGCCGTCTCCTGACGCGTCCAGGTGCGGTGGTGTGCCGGCGCCGGCTGTTGTCCCACAGAGCCGGCCGGCCCACTGGCGGTCGGGCCCGGCCGGCGGCGCGGCATGCACACGCGAGCCGGCCGGGCACGGCGGGAAGCCAATGGTGCGGATAATTCTTTAGGCAGGCGCTCTTTGTTGCCCGACCTAATAAGCGTATCGGTAGCGCACGGACGGCAAAAAAAACCGTGGCCAGCTGCGCGTCTGTCCAACATTCATCGAACCTTTTTTGGTGACTCAGCGGCTACCCGCCATCGCCTTCGCCACATAACACATCCGCGCGTCGCGCGCCAAAGCGCCGGACCGGCCCGGCGTCGAGGGCAGACCCCGTCGGCCGCGCCCGGGCGGACCTACCCTGACGAAGTTGTCCGGGAAGACGCCGACCTTGCCGCGCAGCCGGCCGCGCATCCAGCCCGGCTCGGTGGGCGTGAGCTCGGTGACCATGTCGCCGACGCGGATCGTCAGCTCGTCAGCGTGCTGCGCCTCGTAGTCGTACTCCACCAGCGCCTCTGCAACAGGCGGGGGGGGGGGGGGGCGTCAGTCGCGCGGCGCCGGCAGGACACGGGTCGGTCTCAGGCCCCGGCCGGACGTAAGCCTCACCTCACCGCCAGCGACAGCGACACGTCCACCCGGCCAGCCACCGTGCTGCCGCGCCGCCACGGCGGCGCGTTACGTCCCCTCACACCAAAATGCTCCTGTATTATTTCTTACACGTTGAGGAAAATGTGACTCACAAGCGTTGGCTTATAAGGTCACACCAATGGAGAATGCTATACCGTTGTTTGAGCAACGGGAGCTTCCGGCTTCGGTGCGTGGCGCCATAAGGCATTATCATTACCATATAAATCACTTCTCCCCTCCCAAATGAGCACTACCATATTAATAACAGACGTGACATTAACTTAAGGCTGATAATAATGAGAGGCATGCCTAAAGTTAGATAAGGTACAATGTACATCACTACCGCGACCCCATAGAACAGCTGACATAGAACAACTTGTTTTCGGTATCATACTAAGCATAAGCTCACTAACGCGTCGCTTGGCGATCCAGTCACTTTAAGGCAGCCAAATACTTCATCATGTGATTGGTGACGAGCATGAGCGGGTCAACAACTAATGAGAGAAGGCTCCGCTTTTTGTGAGCGTATGGCTGTAACAATGCCGTTCACAATGGATGGCTTCGGTAGTTAGGCCGGGCAGAGGGCACCGAAATTCCCACCGACGCGCGCCCAGCCACGTCGGCCGTCCACTCGCGCCGCGCGCCAGCACTTTCGCCGGGAGTACCAGCGCGGTGCGGCCGCCGCCGCTTCCCACCGTTCGTCAGCGCGGCGAGAGGGCGGTCGCTAATTCCCGGTCCAAACACGGCTCCCCCGCGGCCGCCGACACCGACACCCGGCGGTGGCGGCGGCGGCGGCGTGGGAACGGCCGCCGGATAATCCCCTCCCTCGCCCGCTCCCTCCCCGGCCGACGGCCGCGCGCTGACGGGACGACATCGCGTAAACAAAGGAGCACTCGGCGGCGCTACAGCCCCATCCGCGTAACCCGCCCTGTTTACCGGCCGCCGAGCCGGCCAAACAGGGCCGTTGCGGCAGGCCGAACACGGCGCCTGCAGCAGCGGGCCACCCGGGCACGGGGCGGCGCAGAGGGCGCGTGACCGGGGCGGGTTTGGAGGCGGCGTGTGTCGCAGGTGATACAGCCGACGGGCATCACGATCGGCGGCGCCGGAACTGCCGGCGGTCACGGCACGCGCCGCCGGGCAGTGCGTGGCTGCACAGCCAGCGCCGTTATGGAATCGTTACGCCCACAGCGAGCACGTCACGCGCCCGCATCGGCTGGGACGGCCGGCGGCTGCCGCGTGGGGCCCGGCGGGCCGGCCGGCACTCGCCGCGGGTGACCTGCGCCGGGCCGCGCCGACGCCGGATGTGACGCCGCGGGTCGTGACACGTGACCGGTCAAGCAGGGCAGAGCGGCGCCGCGTGAGCGGCCAACCGGGGCGGCCCACGCGCCGCGGCCGCCCGGCCCGCGCCGCGGCGCAGGTATTCACCGCTCTCGCCGGGCCGTCTAATAGGGGCGTAAGGTGCGTCTGGTCCGGGTCAGACCGGCTCACAAACACGACAGCGAACAAATTGTCAGCGAGCAGGGCACGTGGTGCGGAGCGGTCGATGGCACCGGCACAGAGCATACATCGACGAAAAGCATCGGTGCCACCGACGCCGGCCGGCAAGCCGAGCTGAAGGCCGTCCAAGCCAGCCGAAGATTCGGCTGGCTTCACGACAAAACTGGGATTTCGTTCGGCCACAAGGGGGAACAAACGTCTTCAGAGGGTGTCATCAGTGCTTTGCCCAATCCTGCCCCACGTGTTCACCAGCCTCAGTTCCCAGTGGCACGCTCTCATACCCGTGAAACGCTCAGGAATCTGAGGCACCTAAAGCCCGACCTCGACAGCACCACCGGCCTTCCTCCGGTCGTCGATCGGTGCCGGCGGCCGGGCGGCGCAGGCCGCCGCAGCTCGTACTCACTGGAGGCCAGGAAGCCCATGGCAGCGACACGGACAGCGACAGCGACAACAGTGGCGGCGGCGGCGGCGGCAGCCGGCAGACGACGGCGCCGCGCCGGGACGGACCGGCGCGACGCCAGCACGGCCGGCGCCGTACCAACGCGTGCCCGGCACATCACAATCGATGGTCGGCAGATCAATGGCCGCCCCTCTCACCTGGCCAGACTGTGCCACCTCCGCCGCCGGCAGCGGACGGCAGGGGAGGCGCGCCACCCGACAGCGCGCCCGGGGCGGCCGGGCACGACGCCCACGGGCGGCGTCGTCACCTGGCAAGGTCGGAAGCCCACAGCAGCTCACCCGTAACGCGATGCAAAACGAACTTCCCGCGCTCGAGGGTTGGTGGCGCGCTGATGTTGGCGCTCGCGGGCCAGGCAGACGACACGAGGAATGCGCCCCAGTCATGACGCCGAGCGCCGGCGCGGCGCTGGCACGTCCTCGGCTCAGATCTCACCGCTGGAAGTTGTTGCCACTAATTTGGTGCCATTGAGGCATTATTAATTTGCACCGGCGGGTGATGAGTATGCTAATTCGTTGATTTCCCACCGGCAGGAATACCTGCACAGGGGCCTCACGCGACGACGGTCCATGGCTTTAATTCCCCACATAGTTCCGACTTGGTAAGGATGAACTGCTTGCATGCAACTGCTGTTTGCAATCTCCCCATCTATCCCACAGACCGAACCAGGAAAATTGGACACTCAAACGCCGATGCACGAACAATGCGGGCCATGCACCAAACTCGAACAGAAAATACTGTCACCCGACGTCCCCCGGCCGCCTGGGTATAAAAAATGCAAGCTGGTATCAGAACATATTACGGTCAACAGCTCACGCGAAGCCACATACGTGCCCTCAGAGAACGGACTGCTAAGAACGGAGCTATGAACGAAGCACGCGAGAAAAAAACTACAAGAAAAGCTACGAAAATTGCCGTACTGTATGACGTTCTTTTCCAGCCCCCCACCCCCCAAAAGCAGGAATAGCAGAGACGTCCAGCGTTAACGAAGCAAATGAACCCACAATTATCTAGTGTAAACATAATACCATGAATTATCGAGTCTTTCACTGGACTTGATGTGTCTGGACTGAACTGGGCTGGACTGGACTGGACTGGACTGGACTGGAGGTGTTTGGACTGGACTGGAGGTGTCTGGACTGGACTGGAGATGTCTGGACCGGACTGGACTGGACTTGACTGGAGGTGTCTGAACTGGACTGGAGATGTCTGGACTGGACTGGACTGGACTGGACTGGACTGGAGATGTCTGGACTAGAGGTGTCTGGCCCGGACCAGACTGGTGCGTCTCGCACTTGGAAGGTCAGCACCGCAGTTCGTGAAGCTAGATGACAACACCCGCGGTACGCGACACCGAATGATCACAAGCGCAGTTCGCAGAGCTGGCTGATCGCCAGGGCAGTACGGGACACCGCAGAAACAGCAGTGCGGCAGGCTTGTAACAGCCATCACATCCGTTGAGGCTGCCCCCGTCCGTCCCGTGTCGGCCGTGCTGTGACCGAACGCCGCCGCCTGACCCGCCGGGCGCAGGCCCCCGCCTGCCGGCCCTTTTTTCCCAAACCGGCCGCGCTGGACGGCCAGCACGCCGCTGCGGCCAAATAAAGCCAGCACGCGACCGGGGGCGGACGTCATCGGCGTCGCCAAAGAACCCCAGCACCGTGCACGCCATGCTCCGCCCGGCCAGTCGGCGGCTGGTGCCCGCGCGCCACCATCCCGGCGGCAAACACGCGGCCTTGACAAGGAGCTTCTGACAGCGCTCAGTCACTGCACGTTCATTATTGAAGAAGACCGACCTATAAGCTAATCACCTTCTAGAAATACTGGAGCACTTGCATAACAATAAGACGCAAACAGCAACCACCAGACATGTTCAAGTGTTAACTCAGCGGCAAAAATACGCCAGATTAATGCGGATCAACCGCAGCATGACTTCCTCGGTGGCGTGGGACCAGAGGGGCGATAGCAGACGAGGACTTCCTCAGCGGCGTGGGACCAGAGGGGCGACAGCAGACGGGGGACTTCCTCAGTGGCGTGGGACCAGAGGGGCGATAACAGACGAGGACTTCTTCAGCGGGCGTGGGGACCAGAGGGGCGATAGCAGATGGGGACTTCCTCAGCGGCGTGGGACCAGAGGGGCGATAACAGACGGGGACTTCCTCGGCGGCGTGGGACCAGAGGGGCGAGAGCAGACGGGGACTTCCTCAGCGGCGTGGGACCAGGGGGGGGGCGACAGCAGAACGGGGACTTCCTCAGCGGCGTGGGACCAGGGGCGACAGCAGACGGGGACTTCCTCAGCGGCGTGGGACGAGAGCGGCGACAGCAGACGGGGACTTCCTCAGCGGCGTGAGACCAGGGGGGGGGGCGACAGCAGACGGGGACTTCCTCAGCGGCGTGGGACGAGAGCGGCGATAGCAGACGGGGACTTCCTCAGCGGCGTGAGACGAGAGCGGCGATAGCAGACGGGGACTTCCTCAGCGGCGTGAGACGAGAGCGGCGATAGCAGACGGGAACTTCCTCAGCGGCGTGGGACGAGAGCGGCGATAGCAGACGGGGACTTCCTCAGCGGCGTGGGACTAGAGCGGCGACAGCAGACGGGGACTTCCTCAGCGGGGGCGAGACGAGAGCGGCATAGCAGACGGGACTTCCTCAGCGGCGTGGGACGAGAGCGGCGACAGCAGACGGGGACTTCCTCAGCGGCGTGGGACGAGAGCGGCGATAGCAGACGGGGACTTCCTCAGCGGCGTGAGACCAGAGAGGCGGTAGGAGACGAGAGCGGCGATAGCAGACGGGGACCTCCTCGGCGGCGTGGGACGAGAGCGGCGGTAGCAGACGGCGAGTGCCATCATCGCGCAGACGGAAACAAAACGCAAGAGATTGAAGCCAGCTTACTTGGGACACCCTGCACAAAAGCCTTGTCAACGCAATTGCATTGAACTACATTCCCCCTGAGTTTGGCCGGCAGACGCAAGTGATTGTTAAGCGCTCCCACGTAAGTCTCCAAGCGACTTCGCTCACAAAATAACCGGATTCGGACCAGACAATGCCCAGCCACTTCGATCCACGAAACCGAGAAATGTGGCAAGGTTTTCCGTACTGGGTGACTGTGACGAGCATGCTGTGAGGAACCGCAAACACATCGTGTGGGTATTTGGTCACGCAATTTTTGCAGACTTCATCACCTATGCAACCTCTAGGTATCAATCTCCCTCGATTGAAACGCGACGCGTTGAGCTCAAGGTCAGCCTCGGAAGCAGTGACACTGGCCGATGCCCCGGTAACCTTCTGACGCACCTACGTGTCAGACGGTTTTGGGACATGCTAGCGATTTGTAGATGGTACACCCCGGCAGCCAGAGGCTCTAGCTGCGGTGTTCCGACATCAATTCTCAAACACCCTCAGCAGCGGGCAGAACCGTCAGCTGCTCTCTCGAGAGCGCGTGACCCGATGCACATTTCTAACACGCGCCGCTGACCCTGGTCTCCTCCCCTACTGAACGTATCGGCCTCCCGCGGCTCCGACGACGTCAATGAGAACTGAGCCTGGTTTCTGGTTTTGAGATTGGTTTCGCTTCGACCCGACGAGACTTGAGCCCGGTTTCACGGCGCGCTCTTCCGTTTTTTGTCGCAATTTGAACATCTCACTTTTCGCATGTATAGATGGAGCAATGCTACATTTTGCTCCGATCGCCATGCCGCGGGAAAGCCACGCCAGGTCCAAAACCTTACACGACACACGTGCTTTAAACAATACTGGGCTTTGTATTGCAGAAACCTGCATTGAGATGTGACCAACTTGAGATGTGATCAGTAGCTGCAAAGGCTATCGCCTCCTGGAAGCCTGGAGGCGATAGCTTGGACTAGCTGAAATTTCCCGTATTTTAAGCGGAGACTCGCAGCCCGCCCAGTCAGCCCAGGCGGCGGCCTCGCTCGCAGTCAAACTATAGCGCACCCATCCAGTGCGCTGTCCACATCAACAACCATGCCACACGGCGTCTGTCCTGCGCTCAGATCAACAGCGTAGCCTGTGGTCAGCACCTACTGACCGCGGTGCGCCTAAGGAATGTTGCAGTCGGGTTCACAGCGGTGCGCCGCCACGCGCCCGTTGGCGGGGCACCCGGCGCAAACAGGCCATTAGTTCATCATCGGCGCGATTGGTAGGGAGTTAGCGCAGTGTCCGCAGGAGCCCCAGCCCGTGCCGACAACCTGCGCCCAACGCACCGATGCGCACGAATTTTTCTTGAGATTCTGAATGCAAAAGGCGAAACGTTGCTGGAATTACGGCGAAATTCCAAAATGTGCCGTAGACCTAATCGTAAAAAATTCAAACGAGACAAGAAACGTAGACGAAGAAGGGACGGAAGTACGGTCCCAGCTGCCCTGCCACAGTCATCCCTGCGGCAACGGCAGGTCTGCGGGCGGGGCGATGTGGCCGCATGACTGACCTATTCTGCAGCGTCCGTAGCAGTGGTGGAAGGTGCGGCTCTTGTGACCCCTGGGCAGCGTCACCCATCCGGGGTAGGACTGCCCACGCCGATCATGGCTACCCGTGCACCGCGCGGCCCGGCGGCGGACACTCGACTGGAGGCGCGGCGTCGCGGCGGCCGCCGGCGCGCGGGCCCGTGGCGGCCCGCGCGTGCCCTCTCCGCACCGCGGAGCGGCGCTGGCGGCCGGCCGGCGCGCTCCCCCCCACCGCCGATACACACATACACCACACACACACACGGCTGCCGCCGGCTCCGGAGCACGTCCCGCATCGTATGGCTCACGAATCCGCTCGCATGGCCACGAACACGTCAGCCGGAATTGAGGCGTGAAACTGGACATGGCAGAGGCGTGAATACGACGTTCCCAATGACCGACTAAGTTCGGCAATGAGTTGCAACCTTCGTTCATGCAGGCCCGGACACGACTTCTTCGGCGAACGTGCAATGCCTTCCACAAGTTTATATAGCATAACACAGTCGGC